GGCCCTTGCTGAGGATGCTGGGTGGGCAGGAGAACACGGCCACGGGGAGGTCCGGGTCGAAAGCGATCTTCAGCACCTCGCAGTCTGTTGCCTTGACGGAGACCCTTGTGAGTGGCACCGGCTCCCCAGAGTCGAGCATGACCAGGTCGCCCACCTTCAGGGTGCCAGCCGGGACGTAGGTGCCGGCTCCCCCCTCCAAGCCGTCCGTCAACACGAAATGGTCGGGGGTCACCTCCAGCGTGGCAGCACCCGCCTGCAGGTGGACCACCTCACTTGCTCGGCACACCTGCGGAGGCTCGCTGACCTCCAGGATGGTCTTGTCATCTGCCGCCACCACCTGGGAGCCCTTCTTGAGATCCTTGCCCATGAGGAAGAAGTCCATGCCGTAGGTCCGGGTTTTGAAGATGGAGTGCAACATGAAGCACTCTGGCTTCACGGAGAACCAAGATGAGCTGCTCAAGACCGAGGAGGTGCCATCCCCGATCAAGGTGTATCCCAACTGTTCAGCCATGTTCGAATCCTCGCCGCTCGAGGGCTCTTGGGGGAAAGGAAGGCGGCTGGCATGCTTGGACCGATCCGCCTTGTGCAGCTGAAGCTCCGCTTGGTGCAGCCGCTCCTTGTACGTGGCATTCTCAATCCAGAGAGCCCGGATCTGATCCAACCGTGTAGATGCCTCAACTTCCGCTTTGGTGAGTTGAACTTTGAGCTGCTGGCATCGTTCTTTGTACATGGCAATGTCGAGCAAGGCCTGTAAGCCTGCATCGGTTGCGGATACATCCTCACCCGAGGCCTTGCGACCGGCAGGCGGTTCGCAGGTTTCCTTGTACTCGGCAAACTCAGCCTGCAACGCCTGGAGTTCGTGCTCTCTTTGCGATGCCACTGCTTCAGCTGCGGCCAGGCAGTTGGCAAGCTCCTCGCACTGCACCGTGCGCTTCGCATTCTCATCTTGCACTGCCTGAAGATTGTTGGCGCTCTCCAACGCCGCTTCTTCTGCCGCGGCCAAGCGACGGCGAAGATCCTTCATCTGATTTCTGCACCACTTATGACAGCGTAGCTTCTCTATGCAGAGGGCCCAGCGCTGCCACAGCGCGTCCTGGAACTCCAGGCCAGCGAAGGTACGAGCCATCCCTTCGGTAAAAGTATTCCCTGAAGCAAGCCCTGTCTCTGTATATCTGACTTTTGTTGCCTTCTTTACGCAAGACATACTGTGCAGGTACAGAAGGCATTGCAGTGGCTCCCATCCTTGCATCGTCTTCAGCTCCCTTTTGTAGACCTCCTGATGCCATGCCACCCACATCTCCGCTCCACCTTCTTCCGAGCACCACCGCTCGACAAAGCTCTCCTGCGCAACGGTCAAGGCTCTTTGTATACCTGTTTGCCGATGGCACATCGTGTCAAATGTGTGAGCAACCATCAGAAACGCAAGCGCGTCGACAACAGTCTCCAAACACCAGCCAGCAGGGACAGTCTCCATCTCAACAAAGGACAACGAAGTCGCCGATGCCATACGTGTTGTGGAAGCTGAGGGGGCGGAATTGCAACAATCAACAGCTTGCCTCGTGGGGCTATCCTCGAGCCTGGGCTTCCTACGTCTGGTTCCATCAACCACACACACACACACCAGAGTACCACGATTCCAGCAGTAAAATGATGATGAATCATGATGAATCCTTGGTTGGTAGTACTGGGCTGGCTCTATCAAGTCATGAATAAAAACCGCATCACCAAAACCAGTCAAACCCACTGGGTCGAGCACCCGCTCAGGAACGATGGGAAACGGAACGCAGGGCAAACATGAGGTGCAACAAAATTAACCCTAAACCCTAAACCCTGAACCCGAGACCCTAGACCCTAAACCCTAAACCCTAAACCCTAATCGGGAGATTATTGTCCGTCAGGGGCGGAGTCCGAACCCCGGGACGGGGAACAAAATCAGACCATTGATTCTTCGTCAAACAGCAATTCCAAGTGTCGGGTCTTCAAAAAAAATGTACTCCCGAATTTCACTGTTTGGGTCCTGGTCCCTATGTTTGCCTCCGGTCTTCAAAAACTATTAACTCCAGATTTAATTGCTTCTCGGTGCTGTGTAACAGAACAAGCCATCGGTACCTCAACGTCAAATGGCTAGCTAGCAAGCCATCGGTACTTCGCTTGGGTTCCAAATCTCGGGCCTTCAAAAAAAAACAACTCCAGATTTAATTGTTTGGGTCCGGGGTTTGGGTGAAGCCGTCCCCATGTTTTGCCTTCGTCTTCAAAAACTATTCACTTCAGATTTACTTTTTTCTGTGGTCTGTAACAGAGCAAGCCATCGGCACCTCTCTTCGCAAAAGCTATTTCGTTTCGGCTCCAAATCTCTCTTCAAACCCGAGTAACTCTGGATGTTTTGGGTGTTGAAAATCATGGATTGGGCACGTGTTGGGCTAAAAAAATCACATTCCCAACCCCCGGGGAGTTGAAATGGGCGAAAAACTCCGCAACCCGTTTCGAGCCCCGAGAAGGGGGGTCGAGGCAACTAACCCCAGAGCTGACTGTTCCCTTCCGAAGCCTTGTTTCCCTAAACCCTAAACCCTAAACCCTCATGCGCTACCACTCTTCACACCGACCAAGCGAGGATGTTCTAGCGAATGAAATTCCCAAAATCTAGGAATCTGACCATCTATCCCTCACTCACTCAGAAGCAGTGCGTGCACCAACGCACGTCCCCACGGTGTGTGCGTGCGCGTGCACTGGTACCACCTCCTGCCCTTGTGTGACTGCGCCCAAAGTCTCTCGACCAACGCTCTCGCACCGACTCTCGCCTGCACGTGGAGCGCGCCGCTGCCACGCCGTTGTCAACTGCAAGGCTGCACAGTCTACAATGCTGTTTCCTTGCTGACGTCGGATTTGCACCGACCAAGATCTGTTCGGCACAAAACCTGGGAGTCTGGGAGACTTCCTAGATTCAAAATGGGTTTTCTGGTTGCTTTTCAAGCAGTCGAGCTTATGGAAACCTTGCCCCTGGACATCTCAGCCTGAGCACCATCGCCGTGGAATTGGATACAGGTGTGCCTCCAGGGCACTGGGAGCACGGCAGCGAAGTGTTCTTGTGGTCAATGGCGGCTCGTAGCTCGTGGCTCCTGCAGCCGCAGCACTGGCTAAAGCGGCTAAGGAAGTGCTGGGAGTTCATGGTGATAGCAGGTTCGACGCTCGTCCTGCATTTTTTGTGGTCGGTCGTACACTGTCCACCTGCGGGCAACAGAGCCAAACTCGTGATGCCAAGCCAAGAGCGCACGAGAAGGCGAACACCAGCTAAGAGGAAGCAACACACTTTTGCGCCCAACCGCGAGAGCAAGCGACCGTCCAGGGGCCAGGAAGCTCGCAGTAGACAATGTGAAGCTGGCCGGACATGGTTTGTCCACATCTCTCTGACTGAACTTCAGCCAACTTCTGATGACTATGCAAAAATGCCTAGTTGAACAACATGGGCAATGTAAGCATCTCCTTCCCAAGATCGAAGACCTACCTCACACATGGTTCCCAGACGTCTCAAATGCAATTTGCAAGCTGCCAGCCATCTTCACAGAGATGTCTTGCACACTCAAAACAGGCTGGTGCCCGCATAAGACAAGCACCAGGACTGGAAGCATGGCTGAAATCTCGCACCACCTGTACATCTGCGGAGCGCGCCCTGGCCAGTAGCTGCAAGATCCGGTTTGAAAAGTCTTACCCGACTACGAACCTTCTAGCGAATGAAACTTGCAAAATCTCGAACCTGCCTGGTCTCGTGCCTTTGGCCGATGTCAAAATGACACAACATGTCCATGAACCTATCTGCGTGTCGACGATGGACATGTCGGAAATCGACTGTTTAACCTGTTTTCGTGATCGTGAGTCTTCCAGCTGCTCTGGGGCGAAAGACACGGCGAGCACTCAGCGAGCTCAACCACTTTCGCCTGTGCGACAAGCTTCTAGATTCTGGAAATTTACGAAGCTGCTGAAAACGCCAAAACATGAATACTGTATAGGTGTGCAGGAGCTACCAACAGCTACATGTCGGCGCATTTTCTGACATCTGAGCAACTGAGCGGGACTGCACTGTGAACCAGTGAACCAGCACATCATCGGGACTAACCGGCCAGCTGCACAAAAACCACATGGTGACGTCCCAAATCACCAGCTGATCCGACAGCTACCCCACTTCAAGGTTTCTGCCACACTCCTGGAAAGACACCCAGGATTCTTCCGCATTGACGCATACATTCGGTAACTTAGCTCTTGGGGAACTGACTGAGTTCCCTCCGAAACTTCTTGCCAGCAACCGGAGGAGGATATCAGGACTATGTAAGGCCGGTTCCGGGCCGGAACAGAGGGCTTCATCACTGAATTTTGTCCGCGGACAGCAGGTGCATCTAGCGATGATAGTAACAGAAGCTCTGCCCCGGCGCACAGGGAAAACTGCAGCCCGATCGCTGTGTCACTGGGCAGCCCGGATACTGGCACTGATTTCTGCCGCAGCAGTTGCCGGCGCAGTAATTCCCACGAGACCTGCTGCCGCAGAGCGGGCAGTCGTGGCCGCCACTCATGTGGAAGTGGCATGTTTTTTGACCCTCGGCCGTGGGGTTGGGGCAGCGGCCGCTGTGCAGAGGACCCCCATGCTGCTGGCACTGGCGATAGGCACAGTTCTCACCATTGCAGAAGTGGCCGTCTGCCGACCGATTGCAAAGCGCACACCGGCCAGCGTGTGGGCGAGATGGAGTCGGGACTGGCTGAGGGCTCGCACCATCCTTGTACAGTTGACATAGGACTGCAGCCGACCGACCAGACCCCACGAATCGAGCTTGGAGCTGTTGCGGCACGTCAGGAGGGTAGTAGGCCTTGACCTGGTCGAGCTCTGCCGGCCGGCCATTGACGCACTTTGGAGAAGAGGATGTTGGCCGTGGGCGTGTTGCCAGGGTCGACCGGTGGCCCGTAGACCTAGCCAGCTGTGAGTCCTGTCACTACTTTCACGGCATACCCGGAATGTGTAGGGTGTGTTGGAAGTCCAAGGGAAGCAAACTCGAGCGGAAAGGAAGTCTCCCTCGCCACTCCATGCCTCGCCACCAGAGCACCAGAAGCCGTCTGATGGAACCTCTACATCAGCAGTGTCTCTGGAATCCCACCGTGAGAAGATACATCCGCGCCCGATCTCACGACAGCAGCCCCCCTTTTCCTCCAACGCCGGGAAGCGGTATCCGTCGCTTCGCGTCTGGATGCCGCCATAGGCGCTAATGCGCTTCTTCCCAAAGTAGCCAACGCCAAACGGCGCGACATAGAGCTTCACTGAGTCCTTGAAGCCATGGCAGACCGCGGCAAACGGGGGCAAACTGCAACTTGCAGCTGCAAGGAGGGCTGAACGTGGTCCCGCACAGAGCCTCAAAGGCACTCCATAGTTGCGCAATTACGCAAGCATGAGGGACAATCATATGCAATGAGGGTGTGAATACCCAGGAGGGAGTGAAAGGGAAAGGGAAAAGGGAAAGGGAAAGGAAATGGAAATGGAAAAGAAAAGAGAGAAAGAGAGAGAGAGAGAGAAGCAGAGAACCGACCAGCATAGTCACATAGTCAGATACATGGCAACAGTAACAGAATACGAAAGTTGCCAACAAATCAGAAAACCCTAAACCCTAAAAGAAACCCTGAGCTGGGGTCGCCTTCTGAGCCCGAAAGTACGCTCCGTCAAGAGCCCCAAGCGTCGAAAAGGACCTGCAGGAAATGCATCCCGAGTTCATGGTTTGGATAGTACTAAAAATTTAGATCTATATTCCTTATTAGGTTTAAGTACCCTTAAACATGTAAAATGTTACCCAAACTATGACCAAGATACATCCAACATGGCAGGTGGAACAACACCGCTGTCACATGCAAAGTGAAGAGTTTGGGGCCATCACGATGGTGAGATGCGGAAAGGATCCTGAAAACTTGTCAGGGCTCCTTATGCTCCTTATGCTCACCTCATCATGATCATGATGAGCGTGATGCTTCCTTTTCGTGGTCCGTGGAATGGCTGTCATTGTCACTATTTTCGAGATTCTGTAGATGTCTTCATGCTTCGGGAGGATAGATCAGGTTGATACTAACGCTCGTTCCGTCACTTCTCTTGCAGCGGAATTCTTGAGCTTGGTTGGCTGCATGAAACTTGACGTCTGGGACGCCTAAGGAGGCTCATGGACATCCAGGCAAAGAATGTGCGCTTTCAACAGGGATGCAGACAAAGCCGAGAATGAGGAAGGGCTCAAGCAGTATCGCCATGATAAGCAACTTCCATCTCCGGGTGGAGAGGGTGGGGGGCAGCTGGAGCATCTCCATTCAGGCTTGGTGTGTTTTCAGGAACCAAGGGCTGTACCCTGAAGCCCTGAAGCCTGCGCCCTGGACCCCCAAGGCACGTGGCGCCGCACCCGGCTCGAAGGATTTTTGGACTCAGGGGTTGACGTTGTCCATCAACGATCTCAAGTCGCACCGGAGCAGGAAACAAATTCTGCTGAGCCACCGACTTCGTGCGGGCCCAGCCAAAAAATGCAGTGGGGGCTTCCGAAATTGGGGATACCTTATTGGGGTCCTTATGATAAGGGAATCCTACTATTTTTGGGGGGGTCTATTTTAGGGGTCCCCTATTTTCGTAAACTCCCCAATTAAAATCCAAGCACAGCGGCGCAGAGGGCCCCACCAGCATGATGCTGTCGGCTGCTCCACGAGTCCCAGCAATAGCCCCAAGTTTTATGCTGGGTAAGCGAAGATCCCTTTTTTGGGCTTCCTAGAGTTTCTGCAGCACCATCTCCGAAGAGCTTAGGGTTTAGGGTCATTTTTGCCACCTGTCTAGCCACGCTGGTTTAGGGTTTTAGGGTTTAGGGTTTAGGGCTCAGGGTGCTCATGGTGCCCATGGTACCCATGGTGCCCTCAAAAGATGAGAGACCGTTCGACTTTGCGAGCAATTACAACCATTGGGGGCGGGGGGGGGGAGGGGGGTCTTTCTCAGCTGCAAAGTCTATTTCTCTAGGTTGGCCTCTGACATTCCGACAGCTGATCTTTAAAAAACCAACCAAGGTGGAAAAATGCAAAACGACCACAAGGGCCTTTCTAGGTTCTGTGGCAACTAGCGTCACGAGCTTGCCTTCTCAACTCTCACAGCTGACTGGCACATTGCATGGCGATTTCTGGGGCTCAAGTGGTGCACCGTGGGCATCTGGTGCCGTAAGTCTCGCCCACACTGTGCACTCCATCTCGAATTCTACACGAAGCTGCAGGATGGCAGACTGGGCAATACGCACGCCTTCCTGACCCAAACGTCCCACTTCTTCTGCTCTGCTTCTGGTACAATAATCTTCCTCAATGATTGTTGCTACTGCTACGCATCTTTACTGTCAGCCGCAGCCACCCTGCACGAACCCGTGTTTGACTAAATGTGGGCCTGCTCACGCACTTAGACGTGAAAGCAGAAACTTGCCCGGAAAACTGTGGCACCTGATTGGTGCTGGAGGTACCTGCCGGTCACGAAGCAGTTCTTAAAAAGAAGCGACCTCCGGGCCCTTACATGGCTGAAGGTTTCGGGTTTAGGCAGAAAGGCTTACGGTTTAGGGCTTAGGGGGTTCAGGGGGTTCAGGTTTCGGGTTCTTGGGGGCCGCTGCCGATGCGGGTCGCGCATTCTGGGGAGCCGATGGCTGCCACAGGGCTTGCACCTGAACCCTTTTTGCATCCAGGCCTCTTCGGACACTGCCCCTGACAACCGGCGAGGCGCAAGCCCAAAACTCAGCTCAGGCGAAGCATCAGGCTCTGCGTGTCGCTCGCCAGGTTCTGCCTCGAAATGGAGAAAGGCTTGCAAGGCAAACTCGCCCGAGTCCTACCTAGAGGTATCAACTGGATGGAGCTTTCGCTGAAAGAGTACCTGATGCCTCGAACTATGAGACCGTGCACCTCTCCCTCACTACCCCCTTGCGCAAGGAGCCCCGATAAGCAAACGCCTACTTGGGGTTGATCTTGAAGTGTGGACCCGCCTTTTGGCACGTTAAACAAAGGTTATGAGTAACATACGATGAATAAAGACGAAAGTGCCCCATGATTTAGAACAACCCGTTTAAAACGTTGCCCTTTTCTTCCCCAAACCCTAGACGCTCACTGGCTTCTTTTAGGACACCGAGGCGCACAGTCTCACGCAGGATGCGGCTCATGCGCCGCCTGATCTGCTTGTCCATACTCTCGGTGCTTCCAAGCTCCTCTTCCGAACTTTCAGCAAGGCTTCAGGGCTCTAGGGTTCTACTTTTTTGGCCACCCGCCTGCAGGACACCGTCCGGTACGAGTGCGCGAAGGGTTTGTAAAGAGCAGCAGAAACTGAAGGAGGGCTCAGCGATGCAGTCTCAACCCAAGGGGACCTCAACTATGAGCCTTACGAACAAACCCGATTCAAGGAGCACTCCTTCACCACTGAAGCATGTTTGTCGGAGAACGACAGACAGCACATGTCTAAACCCTAAACCCCCCCCCCCCACTCCCGGTCTCCGCCCGAATGAAGTCCAAGATCTTGCGCTTGTCCTCCTCGCTGGAGGTGTGGCCTGGCAAAGCTACGTCGAATATGAACACCTACTACAGGACTCGATGTTATCCATATTTATATGTTCCCGTTACAGTCACATCCCTCTCAAAGGGTTTCAATAATACGCGCACAGCGAAGGGATGATCCCCTATCCTGGACTTGAAGGCTTCTCGAGCAGGGGGCTCAGGATTCAAGATGCACTGTCTAGAAACACGATCTACCAACACAAAACATGCGCAAAGCGGACCCGTCTAAGGAGACAGGAGGCCGAATCGCACGTCCTTTTCACGTTTCCATAGCTTGGCATGAGGGCATCAACATTGCAACTGTTCTTAGGGTACTTTGGCACCAAGGACCAAGCAAAACCTTGGGTTTAGGGCTTTTGGGGCTCTTTGGGGCTTTAGGAGCTTTGGGGTTTTAGGAGCATTGGTTCCAATTGGTCCGACGCGTGCCAGTTCAACTCATTGACGCGACCCCTGCGTGTCACTGACGCGCAGCGCTAGCCTTCAGTACGTTTGGGTTTGGGGAGATTTAGGGTTCAGAGTTTTTTCAGAGCCGCCGAGCTAGAAGCTTTGTTCTTGGGCCTTGAAAGGCTTTGGGGAACCAACCCTAAACCCCAAACCCTAAACCCTAAACCCTAAACCCGAAACCCTAAACCCTAAACCCTACACCCTAAACCCAAAGCCAAGGGGCAGTTGGCCACCTGCAGCGACTCCAGCTTCCGCCCGATCTGCAGGGTGATGTCCGGCGAGGTGCCCCGCTCGCCCAGGATGCCCAGGTCGGTGCCAAAAGCCAGGGTCAGGTTCAGCTGGCTCGAGAGGAGGAACTCAAAGAGGCACCAAACACCTCTTCTGCTTGGTTTTTGGTTCCTACTATGAAACGCAATCTGAAGGAACAAAAGTCATACGGTAGTCCTAGGAGTATTAACGATGCAGCAATTTCATGCTATTTCCGGGTCAGGCCGCGCGTTAGGGGCTGGACCTGCTGGTCCAGCACCATGACGACGCCGCGGACGCCGGACTGGAGCACCCGTGCGAAGGCGCTGTCCATGATGTGGTCCCCGAGGTCTGCGGCGACGTCCCACTGGTTGTTGGCGAAGGAGCAGATCCAGTATGCAGCATCCGGTGCACTGAGTGCACTAAGTGCGCTGCTGGCCGAACTTGCATGGTGGCGCAGGCACTGGACAAAGTGCTGGAAGCTGGTTCCCCAACTGTGCGAGACAAAGAAATCGACGGCTCGGCCGCCCCAAAGCGCAACGAAGGACGTCTGGCTCCTGGCAGTAAGCGGAATCACGACGTTGCCCACGACGTAGTGCATGTTTCTCTGCAGGATGAAGCGCTCGAAGTGCTCCCAAAACTCCAGGACAATGCTGAGCGCTAGACCCTGGTTCTTTGGGTGGTCCCGCTCAACTGCACCGCTCTCGGACGGTTCGATCTTCGGGAGCGCCTTGAGGCACCTGAGGCTCTTGAGGTACTCAAGGCAGGCGTCCTGGAGAGGCGTCCGCTGCCGCCGCAGCAGCCATGCAGCGGGATGGTGTAGCACAGCGGCGAGGAGGGCCAAAGGCGAGGCAAAGCATCCAGCGGTCACCAGCACATGGAGATCTTCGTTCTCGTACGCCGCGGCCACAGCCAGCGTAGTGGGCAGCATGATCAAGGCAAAGAGCAGCAGCCCAAGCTGCAGGAGCAGCCACCCGTAGCCCGCAGCACGCAGGAACCCCCGGCTTGTGGCACAGGCAAAGGGCGGCTGCAGCTGTGGGGGGAGCTGCAACCTGCCGCGGCCCAGGCTGTGCAAGCCAACAGCGCCCAGCTTGGCATCGTCGAGCCACGGCAGCCCGGTGTCCTGGAAGGCCAGTTGTATCAAGTTGTCCAAAATGTAAACGACAACTACAGCGACTACCAACAAGCAGGTTCCCCGTGGTCATACAAGAATACAAGCGCCCCACGATTTAAGGGGATAAGGGTTCTGAAACTTGCTTTGCTTAGCACTTCTTACATTATTCATTGGCTGGCGCGCGTGATGTATTCATGTGCTCCGCAGCATTCCCCCGCGTAGTGTGGTGAGGCTGTTGCGTCGTTGCTCTGTCCTGGATGCGGTAGGTGACGTTCCTGTTCACGTAGACGGCCAGGAACTTCGGCAGCCGGCAGATGGGCCCCTGCACCGTGATGACAAAGCCCTTCCCTTCCAGCGTTTGTGCGTCCACAACCGCCAGGGGCGCCCAAAGAATCTCGAAGGCAGCCAAGCCCAGCAGCACGAAAGCGGCCGCGGCCAGCGCCAGGGCGAGAGTGGCCCCCGCGTCGGGCCAGAATCTGCAAGGCTGCCCTGCACCTCCTGACCAGGCCTCAGGTGGAACAGCGGTCCATAATCTCCATGCATCCTTCTAAGCTGCGTTGGGGCCCTGGTGCTCTACATCGTCTTGTTACATGTCTTCTTCGTGTACATGCATGTCACAGAGTGCATGTCTGTGCGCATTTCTAATTCTAGCTCATCCATCCCTCCGGGCCTTGAGCAGCGGGCACTTCCGGCACTCTTCACCCTGAAGGTCCTCGTGGTGGCGTGGGCAGTCCATGCAGTAGCTTCGTGTCTGCGACACGTGGACGTTGTCCCCGAAATGCGCGTCGTGCACCTGGTGCGCCTCGCAGGCACAGCGCTCCGTGGAGCCTCGGACCAGGGTGGCGGCCTCGCCACAGCGGAGCCCAGGCCTGCTCAGCGCGTGGAGGCCCTGCTCGGAGACGCTGAAGGTCAGGCCGGTGGGGCAGCGGCTGCAAGTGGCGCGCAGCTGCTCTGCATCGAAGCTCGGGGATAGGAGGATCGGGACCTCGCCGTCCAGAGATCCCAGGAAGTCGACCGTAGTGTCGCGAAGCACAACATGGGAGCTTGTCCTGGCGACGGCTGCGGCGTGTGTTTGGAGGTGGAAGCCAGAAATCTCGATGGTCTCGTTGGCACAGGCATCGGCGGAGAGGAGGGCACTGGACACGCCCGTGCCGGTGACGTTGCCACCCGTAGCCTGCAGAGTGGAGGCGCATGTCAATGCGCAGTCCGTGTTGTGCAGAGACACGCCCACGTCGGTGCTGGCCTCGAGCGAAAGCAGAGACTCTGCCGAGATCGCCAGGCATTGCGCCCTGAGGGCACTGGCCCCGCCCGGCAAGCGCTGCAGGTGCAGCTCTGAGCGCTCGAGGCGCAGCGGTCCTCGCAGGAAGCCGCCTCTGCCCTCCGCCAAAGCTTCCGCCGCCTCAGCCTCCTCGGGCCAGGACACGTTTAGCTCCGCGTCCTCAGCCAGAAGGCTTCCGGCAAAGAAGCCGCAGCCGCGGCCAGCACAGCTGCCCGTGGCGCGCACACCCGAGCGACGAATGCGCACATCTGCATGGCTAAAGAAGCCCCCACCGTCGCGGCCTGCATTCCCAGCGACATACACGGATGAGTCGGACACCTCAATGTCCTCTTTGGCCCAAAGAGCTCCACCGTCCATTGTCCTGGCTGTGCAGTTTGAACACGTCAGCGTCGAGCCGTGGGAAATGATGATCCCACCAGTCGTTGCGATGCAGCCGCCACTTTCTTGTGCAACAGCATCCACGACGTTCATTTTGGAGTGGCCGCTGATGTCTATCGAGAGATCGACTGCGAATGCTCCACCGGAGGAAGCCTGGGTAGTACTTCGTGACACTGACATGGATGACTTGCCATGCATCTTGACACGCCAAGCGTAGAATCCTCCTCCTCCATCTCCTGCCGAAGAGTTCTCGATGGAGACTGTGGACTGCTCCTCCAGGAGCAAGGAGCCTTGCACCTGCAAGCCGCCACCAGAAGCACCACTTGCTGTTCCGGACACCAAAATTGAGGACCCACCTGTCGCCAAGACATTCTGAGCTACCCAGCCGCCTCCTCCACGCCTGTGTGCCCGGCACCGGTCAAAGCTGACAGTAGAGTTGCCCATTACACTCAAGGAAGCTGTACCTGCCTTGAGGCCTCCACCATTTCCTGTCCGAGCCCTGCAGTCTTTGAACTCGAGCCGTGACTCTCCCTCCACTACTACCGCCTCACTGGCATGGAAGCCGCCGCCACTCCCGGCAGCGCACCCCAGGAAGACCTTGCTTCGGGGTCTCTTGGCGGCACCATGCACGTCTAGAGTTTGGAGTCTGAGGTCGAAAAGCAACATGACGTGCCACCCTCTTGTGTCAACCTTTATGCAGCTAGGAGACCATGGCTGACCCTTCGGCAATCCGAGTTCGCAGCTGCACCGAGGCGCCACCGCCGTTCCCTGCAGCCTCTGACTGCTCAATAAGGACCTTCGATCCGCCTGTCAACTCCAAGGTTTCCTGTGCTTTGATGCCTCCCCAGTCGCCTGTGGCAGTCGTGTTGAAAAGTGCGACGCGGGACTGATTGGAAATGAGCATGCTCTTCCACGAAAAGATGCCGCCTGCATCCCGCGCTGAAGCGTGTTCCAGTCGCACTTCAGACCTTCGCAAGCTCAGCGACCCCACTTCAAAGCCGCCGCCACTGACCTTGGCCGTGACGTGCGAAATCCTCATGTTGGAATCGGAGATGAGGACCTCGCCATGGCCTACGTCACTCGTGGGCGGTGGCATCGTAGTAAAAGCTCCTCCGCTTCGCGTGGCCGCACAGCGTTCAATGACCACTGTGGACTCCGTGATGCGGGCATGGCTGGTGACGAGGGAGGAGATCAAAGTGAAGGCGCCTCCGCTTTGGGCGGAAGCATCCCGAATGCTCAGCGAGGAGCGCATGAGATCCAGGGCTGCGGCGAGAAAGCCCCCTCCAACGAAATGGCCCCCATCGCGACCTGTGGCCCTGCTGCGCTGTATCTCCAGCGAGGCAGCTCGGAGACGCACAACTCCCCCGGTGAAGAAGCCTCCGCCTCCGAAGCCACCTGCCTCAGTGTCCTCAATTCGCATGGAAGAGTTGTCCTGCCGACAACAATCAACTATAGCAACCATCAAGTGAGAACATGAGGCAAACACTTGCTCTAGGGCTGTTCTCTCAGCTATCTCAGCAAACGTCCAAAAGTGCGCCACTCGCAAATCCCAAATTAAAAAGGCCCAGTCCATGTTGATGACGCCGCTCGAAAGCATCGATGTGAGGAAACCGCCGCCAGAACCTTAACATAGGGGGCCTTATCATAAGTAGAACAGGGTTTCTTATCAAGGGACCATAAGGGAATACTATGAACCTTAACATAGGGGCCTTAAGAAGCAGAACAGGGTTTCTTATCAAGGGACCCTAAGGGAATACTAGACCCCCCCCCCCCCTGCGACCCCCCTGGGACCCCCCGCTGGTCTTGAGACCTTTCCCAAAAGCCCTCTTGAGGCGGCGCGAGCGCAAGCGTTGTTACAACTACACTGCTTGCATCTGGGCCCCAGCCACATGACCACCTCAAACCCTAGACCGTGCAGATCCTGACCCTGAGCCCTAAATCCTAAACCCTAAACCCTGAGCCCTAAACCCTGAACCTTATATGGTCAGCTCTCTCTACATGGGTACCCTACATAACCGCCGCCGCCTTAGAATAAGGACCCTAAAATTAAGACCATGTCTTGGAGAACTGACCATAGCGACCCTAAAATGGGGCTGGAGCCTTGCGCCGTTCTTTGCAACCACTTGATTGATCAACCAATCATGAACCTTCAAGTGAAGTGGAACACTCCCTGGCGACTTTGCATGCCCAACTCTTCAAATCTCAGTCCAAAATGCGCGCCGGCTTCGAGAAACAAAGTGGTCCGCGCTGCGGACGCCACGCGGATGCGCTGCGTGTACTAGCCGATCTGGACCCTCTTACAACGTTGGAACCCCTTAGTATTGACACACGGCTTTGTTGGCCAAAAAATCTCCAGAGCGTCTAAGGAGGGTGCCAATCGGCTTCCACTGTTCTAAGAGGGGAGCAGCGGGGGGAGGGGGGACATAAACTTTGCAAACACCTTGGGCGCTAGAAAACAAAACGTTCCTACTAACCAAGCTGCAAGAAGACTCCATGTTTGGACCAAGTAGCCATGTGTGGCAGTACAGCGGCTGATGGACAGCATCGAACCATCCAGAAGTGTCCTGCGATGCCCCCTTAAAACACTGCAGCATCACGGCCAGTGGACAACTGCCCGTGATGCCGATCTGGGTCACCTTCCTCTCTTGAATGCACTTACCCTCACAGAATCCTGTATCGATCTGAGTGGAAACCAATTGCGAGTGACATACCTGGAATGCATCCTTGTTGTAGCCAGCAAAGCAATTGGTCCGAACGCCCTTAACACCCCTCTGCAGCAAACGCTCGCGGCCAGGACACAAGTTTCCGGCATAGAAACCGCCCCCTTCTCGCGCTCTTGCACCAGAAACCTGCAATGAAAGACACAGCTGACAGACGCCCCAATAGGCTTGAGCAGTTTGGTTTTCAACTCGGCAGCATGCCCCTGTCCTATTGAGGCTGTGCTAAAGCAGAGCAAACCCAGAATTGCTTTGACCCGATAAGGAACAGCTAGGGCATGTCAAAGGATTTGCTTCGTTTGTAGCAGCATCACGCAGTCGGTCTCCTGTCTTCTTCCTTCTTCTTCTTCTTATCATTCTTCTTTTCATTCTTCTTCTTATTATTCTTCTTCTGCTTCTGCTTCTGCTTCTGCTTCTGCTTCTGCTTCTGCTTCTGCTTCTGCTTCTGCTTCTGCTTCTGCTTCTGCTTCTGCTTCTGCTTCTGCTTCTGCTTCTGCTTCTGCTTCTGCTTCTGCTTCTGCTTCTGCTTCTGCTTCTGCTTCTGCTTCTGCTTCTGCTTCTGCTTCTGCTTCTGCTTCTGCTTCTGCTTCTGCTTCTGCTTCTGCTTCTGCTTCTGCTTCTGCTTCTGCTTCTGCTTCTGCTTCTGCTTCTGCTTCTGCTTCTGCTTCTGCATCTTCTTCTTCTTCCTCCTCCTCCTCTTCTTCTGTGCGCTTAAGGATCCCCTGAAGGAGATCCGGCCGGGATGGCCAAGTGAGATCGCTGTTCTTGAGCACACTAGGTTTTCAGGAGTCGTTCTTTCTTTTTCTTTCTCCCTCCCTCCCTCCCTCCCTCCCCATCCAGTAATGCCAACACTTGCTGCTCGTACATTGAGCGATGTACCACGGTGCCATCCAGAACTTAGAATTGCTAGGTGGACCTAACACTCTCCGTCTGAGCACGTTGTCCCGGCCAAGCAGCCACCAAGCTCGACTTGCGGAGCGTTACCGTACCGTTGGCCGCAAAGGCACCACCTCGCTCGACCTCGTCGCCCATCACCTGGTTGGTGTGGTTGTGAGACATTACGACCTGCGCGTCCTCAAGCACGAGTGACCTCGGACACCCAGCGTGCAGCAACGTGCATGCGAAGGCTGCATCGAATCAAGCGTTAGTGACGACGGTCCCTGGCATTCCAAGACACATCAACTCCAAGCGCAGGGACACCAAGCGGAGCTGGCCGCCAAGGACAACATCGCCCCCAAACATCGTGCCGTTGCCCCGCAGCTCAGCGGGCTGTTGCAAGGGGCCCGCAACCGGCAACTGCCAGGCAGCGCCAGCCCCGGCCTCGTCAGAAACCCCTTCATGTTGCCCCTGCAGAACGCACGCCGCATGCCGCATGCCCCTTAGCCCTTGCCTGTGCGGCTCCAGGAAAAAGCACCTGGGCGGCAGCATGAGTCCCTGGCACCAGGCTGCCAGCTGCTCGGCCCCAGCGGGTTCGCAGGCCTGCAATTGTACTTGCTCAGCTTGTGCAATCCTGCCGTAATTACCTCTGAATCGTTTGCTGTCGCGCCTGCTGGTGATGGCCTCGCAAAGCACCTGCAAAGCAAGAACCTACGGCAAGACTACGTAGATCGGCATGCACCCGGTAGGGCCTGCATGAGGGTTAGCAGAGGCACCGAGTGCTGCCAGCGCTACCCAGGCCCAGCGCATGGCAAGCTTCATCCCGCTCATTTCATCACCACGGACTTAAGCCAACTGCACCAGACATCATCTTCCTTGCCATGACTTGGACAGCTTCTGTAGCATGCTTCTGCTTCTGCTTCCACGGGCTGTCTGTTTTCATCTCATCTCGCCGGTTTGTTGCCCCTGGCACATCTGCCACATCTGCTGGACATTAAAAGGAACCCCGGAAGGGAACCTTGTGACATGACGAGAAACTCAGCCCCACAAATCCGTGACGTCGAGCCTCCCAGGTTGCAAGCTTAAAAGGGAAAAATGCATGGCATGACGAACCATGGCAAGACTGACCGACAACTTATGGCCGGCAGACATGGCAGAAGCCCTTGTGGCTGCTTGCCCAAAACTCACAGCAACCTTCAGTAGCTCACTCGTCATCAAGTCTCTGGCAGAGACGCGCAGTGGAAGTTGTGGCATGCAGGAGGTTTTCTTTGAGCATCTCCTTCATTCACAATGGGTCAGCCGGCTGCTGGCATGCTTACTATGCATTATACATACATAACCCTCGGCTGGCGGTTGGTCTCCTTGATCATGGCTCGGATCTTCTCGTCCATACGCTCCAGACTGCCCAGTTGCCTTCGGATGTGTGCAAAGATCCGCTGCTTGTCCAAGTCGCTTGAGGCCTGGCAATGCTCCACCTTCACAGTTTCAATCCTATTGCCAATCTCCAGCGCAATGCCGACAGAGTCGCACTGCTCATCCCCCAAGACACCGAGGTTTGTGCCGAAGACCATGTTCAAAGAGAGCGAGCTGGAAAGAAACAACTCGAACAGGCACCAAACTCCTCTCGTGCTGCCCACATGCTGGTCAGAAGATGCACAGGAATGCATGGCAACTAAATGCACCAAGAAGCACCTTGCAAAATCTGCCGGGGCACGCGTTAAGGGCTGGACCTGCTGGTCCAGCACCATGACGACGCCGCGGACGCCGGACTGGAGCACCCGTGCGAAGGCGCTGTCCATGATGTGGTCCCCGAGGTCTGCGGCGACGTCCCACTGGTTGTTGGCGAAGGAGCAGATCCAGTATGCCGCGTCCGGTGCACTGAGTGCACTAAGTGCGCTGCTAGCCGAACTTGCATGGTGGCGCAGGCACTGCACGAAGTGCTGGAAGCTGGTTCCCCAACTATGCGAGACAAAGAAATCGACGGCTCGGCCGCCCCAAAGCGCAACGAAGGACGTCTGGCTCCTGGCAGTAAGCGGGATCACGACGTTGCCCACGACGTAGTGCATGTTTCTCTGCAGGATGAAGCGCTCGAAGTGCTCCCAAAACTCCAGGACAATGCTGAGCGCTAGACCCTGGTTCTTTGGGTGGTCCCGCTCAACTGCACCGCTCTCGGACGGTTCGATCTTCGGGAGCGCCTTGAGGCACCTGAGGCTCTTGAGGTACTCAAGGCAGGCGTCCTGGAGAGGCGTCCGCTGCCGCCGCAGCAGCCATGCAGCGGGATGGTGTAGCACAGCGGCGAGGAGGGCCAAAGGCGAGGCAAAGCATCCAGCGGTCACCAGCACATGGAGATCTTCGTTCTCGTACGCCGCGGCCACAGCCAGCGTAGTGGGCAGCATGATCAAGGCAAAGAGCAGCAGCCCAAGCTGCAGGAGCAGCCACCCGTAGCCCGCAGCACGCAGGAACCCCCGGCTTGTGGCACAGGCAAAGGGCGGCTGCAGCTGTGGGGGGAGCTGCAACCTGCCGCGGCCCAGGCTGTGCAAGCCAACAGCGCCCAGCTTGGCATCGTCGAGCCACGGCAGCCCGGTGTCCTGGAAGGCCAGTTGTATCAAGTTGTCCAAAATGTAAACGACAACTACAGCGACTACCAACAAGCAGGTTCCCCGTGGTCATACAAGAATACAAGCGCCCCACGATTTAAGGGGATAAGGGTTCTGAAACTTGCTTTGCTTTGCACTTCTTACATTATTCATTGGCTGGCGCGCATGATGTATTCATGTGCTCCGCAGCATTCCCCCGCGTAGTGTGGTGAGGCTGTTGCGTCGTTGCTCTTCTGTCCTGGATGCGGTAGGTGACGTTCCGGTTCACGTAGACGGCCAGGAACTTCGGCAGCCGACAGATGGGCCCCTGCACCGTGATGACAAAGCCCTTCCCTTCCAGCATTTGTGCGTCCACAACCGCCAGGGGCGCCCAAAGAATCTCGAAGGCAGCCAAGCCCAGCAGCACGAAAGCGGCCGCGGCCAGCGCCAGGGCGAGAGTGGCCCCCGCGTCAGGCCAGAATCTGCAAGGCTGCCCTGCACCTCCTGACCAGGCCTCAGGTGAACAGCGGTCCATAATCCCCATGCCTCTACATTGTCTTGCTCTGGCTTGTTTATTCGTGTGTTCGTGTACGTGCAGGGCTTGTGCGCGTTTCCCACCCTTCTTTGCCATCCATCCCTCCGGGCCTTGAGCAGCGGGCACTTCCGGCACTCTTCACCCTGAAGGTCCTCGTGGTGGCGTGGGCAGTCCATGCAGTAGCTTCGTGTCTGCGACACGTGGACGTTGTCCCCGAAATGGGCGTCGTGCACCTGGTGCGCCTCGCAGGCACAGCGCTCCGTGGAGCCTCGGACCAGGGTGGCGGCCTCGCCACAGCGGAGCCCAGGCCTGCTCAGCGCGTGGAGGCCCTCCTCGGAGACGCCGAAGGTCAGGCCGGTGGGGCAGCGGCTGCAAGTGGCGCGCAGCTGCTCTGCATCGAAGCTCGGGGATAGGAGGATCGGGACCTCGCCGTCCAGAGATCCCAGGAAGTCGACCGTAGTGTCGCGAAGCACAACATGGGAGCTTGTCCTGGCGACCGCTGCGGCGTGTGTTTGGAGGTGGAAGCCAGAAATCTCGATGGTCTCGTTGGCACATGCATCGGCCCAGAGGAGGGCACTGGACACGCCCGTGCCGGTGACGTTGCCACCCGTAGCCTGCAGAGTGGAGGCGCATGTCAATGCGCAGTCCGTGTTGTGCAGAGACACGCCCACGTCGGTGCTGGCCTCGAGCGAAAGCAGAGACTCTGCCGAGATCGCCAGGCATTGCGCCCTGAGGGCACTGGCCCCGCCCGGCAAGCGCTGCAGGTGCAGCGCTGAGCGCTCGAGGCGCAGCGGTCCTCGCAGGAAGCCGCCTCTGCCCTCCGCCAAAGCTTCCGCCGCCTCAGCCTCCTCGGGCCAGGACACGTTTAGCTCCGCGTCCTCAGCCAGAAGGCTTCCGGCAAAGAAGCCGCAGCCGCGGCCAGCACAGCTGCCCGTGGCGCGCACACCCGAGCGACGAATGCGCACATCTGCGTGGCTAAAGAGGCCCCCGCCGTCGCGGCCTGCATTCCCAGCGACATACACGGATGAGTCGGACACCTCAACGCCCCCTCTGACCCAAAGAGCTCCGCCATTACCAGCTGCACGCACCTCAGCGATGCTGATGTCGGAGGCGTTTCGGAGTCGCACCTCTCCACGAGCTCGGAAGCCGCCCCCATCAATTCCAGCTGTACAGTTCGTCATCTTGACACTCACAGCACTCGCCCAGAAATTGCCTTGCACGCTGAAGCCGCCTCCGCTTATGCCAGCCAGCGCATGTTCAACCACAATTTCTGAGGCATCCACAAGCAAGTCGCCCGCGACAAATCCACCGCCGATTGCATCAGCGGTGGCCCGCGTTATGCTGAGCTGAGCAGCGCCTGATACTTGTAGCCCACGTTGAGCATTGAAGCCCCCACCATCTCCACCAGTTCGGGTGCCTGAGAGCTGCAAGCTTGCGCCATGCACTTCAACATTGCCAGAGGCTGTAAAGCCTCCCCCAGCATGTCCTGCAAAGGTCTCGTCAATCTGCACAGTCGAGTTCTCAATCACGTGCACGGTCTCCGCGTAAAACCCACCACCGTCCTGCGCAGCGGCACAATCACTAATCTGCAGGAGGGTGCCCTTGGTGATCCAAACACCCTCTGCAGAAAAGCCGCCACCGACAAAGTCAGCTGTGGAGTGCCGGATGTGGATTTGCGAATTCTGCACGTGAAGTGGCCCGCTGGCAAACCCTCCTCCCCACCCGGAAGCATTTGCGCCTGCAATCCTGAGGAGCGATCTGTCCAGCAACTCCACGGAACCAACTTTCAGCCCTCCACCGTCACTGGCGCTCGAGTTGGCAATGTTGATCTCACTGCCCATGACGGCCAGACTCTCCTTCACAAAGATCCCGCCGCCTGCCGACCCAGCGCGGGCTCCCGAGACCCGGATCACCGAGCCTCCGGAGACTTGTGCCGTTAGAGAGGCGATTCCGCCTCCTTGGCCAGCGGCCCTTGCCTCTGCGATCTCAACCGTGGACTGCTCCACAACGCGAAGGCTCGCGCAATAGAATCCTCCCGCATTCTCCCCAGAAGCGACATGAGAAATCGAGATGCGCGATCGATTGCTGACATTCACAGCCTCATCTGCCCAAAAACCTCCTGCTGCATCTGCCGCGGAGGTGTTACGAAGGTGCAGCTCCGAGCCATTGGCGAGCGACATCTCACGAACAAAGAGCCCTGCTCCAAAGTCCAGCGAACGGGCATTCTGTATGCGCACACTGGAGTTGTCCACGATATGTAAGTTGCCATTCATTGTATAGACTCCTGCACCTTTGCCGGTGACTGTAGTCCCTCTCTCGCCAAAGGCCAGGGCATCGGAGATGCGCAGCGTGGACTGCCCTGCCACGGTGACATTCTGGCCCAGAGTGAGCAAACCCGCAGCACACGCAGCGGTGACGCGCTCGAGGTGCACTGTTGAGCCGCTGTCGATGCGTACCCAGTTATTAGCCGATATTCCTGCAGCAAAGCTGCCGTTTCCCAGCACTGAAGCGTCGAACACCTGCAGCAAAGAGCCGTCGGACACGAGGATGGAGCCTTTGGAGACTAGACCTCCATAAATCTGAACGGCCTGTGCATGCTGAATTGTGAGCTGAGAGCGTCTGAGCACCAGTCCCCCAGATGTGAAGCCGCCAACAGCGCCGCCGGCCCTTACACGCAGCAGGCGCACGGTCGAGCCATCCTCGGAAAAGCACTATAGGCAGGCAATGTGCAATGAAAGCATGCGTCGTCAATGGCTCGGGGCCACTTCATGCCATAATCTTCTGAGCTCCCGTCCAACGTGAGCGGGCCCGCGGTGCTGAATCCACCGCAAGCACTTGCGGCCGTGCTGTCGATGATCTGGACATCTGATGCCAATAGCGACCTCACCAAGGTCAAGCATGCCTTGGGGTGCTACCTACATGGGGATTTACGAAAGTAGGGGACCCCTGATATAGACCCCCAAATAATAGGATCCCCTTATAATAAGGACCCGAATCAGGTACCCCTAATATCGTAAAACCCCCAAATGCCCAAGGCCCCATGAGAGGCTATAGGCAGATGGGGGGGGGCATCTTTTCAACAAAGTCAAGACACATCTCCCCCGAAACAAAGAATCCGCCGCGTTCATCGGCTGCCTGGGCAGTCTGTACCTGACACCACGGCCAGGGAGGATGGTAAAAACCCTACATTCACCTACCTCTTGCGCACACGTAAACTGGCTCAAAAAAACTCCCCCCTAAACCCTAAACCCTAAACCCCTAGAGCCTAAACCCTAAAGAACGCCGAGCAGCAGTCAAGTTCGAAGCCTGCAGCGCCAGGTTGCCCATGACCCCGAAGGCGCCTCCCGTACGCGCAGCGACATCCTCGATGCTGAGGAAGGAGTCCTGTACTTGGAGGTTCATGGTACTTATTAGCCAACTATGACTGTACGTATAACCCACTTGCAAGGCCCTGAAGTGCCCTAATATGGTTATAAGTACAGTTATAAGTACAGTTATAATAAGATCTACTAAGTACCATGAACCTCCAAGTCCTGGATCCACGCATCTTTGCTTAAAATGAAGCCACCACCATTGGCACTTTCGGCGCGGCTGTCGAAGATGCGCAGGGAGCTCTGCCTCATCTGGAGCCCCCCCTCTGCGAAGAAGCCCCCGGCACCAGCAGCGCGGGTGTGCTGGAATGACAGGGAAGAATCGTCCTGAAGAAACAGGATCAGTAGAGGGATACTCCAGGGGATTCTCCAAGCATCCGCAAGGCATCCGCAAGGCATCCGCAAGGCATCCCCAAGGCATCCGCAAGGCATCCGCAAGGCATCCGCAAGGCATCCGCAAGGCATCCGCAAGGCATCCGCAAGGCATCCGCAAGGCATCCGCAAGGCATCCGCAAGGCATCCGCAAGGCATCCGCAAGGCAAATTCCACAAAGATGACACCCGAAGACTTGCGAGCTAAATAGGCCGCTGCTAAAAGACCACGAAATCAACACATGCCTGCCAAGCCCCTCGTGCATCGAGCGGAGATGTTACACGCGCAGCCTGAACACAAGTCACACTTCTCAACCACTCTTTCCATTTGCGGCCCCTGTCCACGACGATGTCGTCCACAACCCAGAAGCCGCCACCAGTCCCATTTTGTGCCGCACTCTCTGAAATGGACAGTGTGGCACCTTGCAACGTCCTCAGCGACTTGCGACGATGTGTGGGCACAAACATGCGGACAACAGGGATCATGGCGGGATCATGGTGGGACCGAGAGCTCCGACACGACAGCGAGCCATAACGCAGCGCATGGCAGTACGCAATCATAACCCTAAACCCTAAACCCTAAACCCTAAAAACCCTCTTTTTGCTCAACCCCAAGCCCTTCTCATGATGCACCATCACATCGGTCAGAAGCTTTGCAGCCGGGCCGCAGCTTCCTTGCGTAGAAGCCTCCGCAGTGCTCCGTGGCCTGCGTGTCTTGAAGCCGAAGAGATGACCGGTCCTTCGCAAAAGAGTTTAGGGTTTAGGGTTTAGGGTTTAGGGTTTAGGGTTTAGGGTTTAGGGTTTAGGGTTTAGGGTTTAGGGTTTAGGGTTCAGGGTTCAGGGTTCAGGGTTCAGGGTTTAGGGTTAAAAGAGCAAGGTAGGGTTTCGACTTCAAGACTTTTTGTGACCCACGTAACGCAGGGTCTGACACGCGCATTCGCAGGAAAGGCAGGCGAACTTTGCTCGACCCTCCTCTGCACCTCTTCCAATCCAAACAGCAAGATTCCCGCCAGCCATGCGGGAAGTGAGCCAGGCGCTCTACCCTGCTAGCCGAAGCGGAGCGGGGTGTGGCGATGCCGGGCTGCTGGCTAGCTAAGCTAACGATGCTGCCTGGCATTCCGGTGATCGCGGCCCACCAATGTGTGGGTGCATGGTCGCCAGTTTTCTTGTTTCTGCTTTTGTTTGCTTGTGCTGCTCGCCCTCAGAAGTAGGAGGGGCTTTTTTTGCCACCCGTCTAGCCACAGCTCCACGGGGCAAAGTTAGCGTAGTACCATAAGCCCATATTCAGTCGGTAAGTCAGGAGTGGGGGCCCCAGCATAATCAACCAGGGACCCAGCAGCCGGTAAGGACTTTTTCCGTTCGCCTAGCTGACAAAGTCGCACTGCAGGGCAACACGACTTGCGCAGTACAAGGTTTAGGGCTCGGCTCGGTTGGGGTTCCGAGCGTTAAACCTATAAATTTATGTGGCAACCGGGGGGGGGGTTTAAGAGAGGGGGGGGGAGGGCTATTTGTAAGTATTCTGTGCAAGTTCCCCCATCCCAACCCAGTCCACGGTGACGTCACCGTCCGCCCAGAAGCCGCCGACGGATCCCTTCTCCGCCACGCTCTTGGAAACCGACAGCGTCGAACCCTGCAGTATCCTCCTTTGCTCAGTCTGCGAACACGGAAGGCCAATGCAATGCTGTACCTATAACGGTACTTGTAACCATATTAGGGCACTTAAAGGGCTTATAAGTGGGTTAAAACTACAGTTATTGGGTTATAAGTATGTAGGAGGGTCTATAATCACAAGTTTCCAACATTTGTTCTGCGAACCGGGTTTGTTTGGGCAACCCGCATTTATCACATTCTTTTCCGGACGGCTGACTTTTTCAAGGGTTTGTGTTTAGGGTTAGGGGCTTACACAGTAAGGCTGGAGGCCCTGAGGAGCCAGAGCCTGGAGAATCCAGAAAGCTAAGCCCGGCCAGTTCCATGTAAAGCCCTATGGAATTTCACTACGAAACGAGGGCCGCAAACACATTTCGCGATAGGTAGCCCACAGGCCGGCCGGACTGTGTTTTGTATGTTTGTCTGGTCACCCACAGTTTGTTTCCGGATGATTGTTTTGTTTAAGGGTTTGTGTTTAGGGTTAAGGGCTGCCGCAGAATGGCTTGAGGCCCTCTGAGGGCCTTGGGCTCCAGGAATCTTAAAGGCTGAAAGCTTCAGGCCTTAAGGTTCAGGCCCTGAGGGTGGTTCCCCCCCCCCCCCAACTTGTTTGGCGGGATCGCCGCGCCACGTGTTTATAGAGGGTCCAAATTTGTTGGGGGGGGGGGGGGGGGGGCATAAAGCAGTGCAACATTACCAGGAACCTCCAAGTGGGGCCTGAAGCGTACGGAAAGGAAATGAAGACTGGCCTCTGACGGCTGACAAGAGTCAAGCTGTCGGCTACATAGAAGGCCCCGGCAGCTTCCGCTCGGGTCCCCTCCACCTGCGTGGCCACTTGACTGGTAGGCCTTAGGGTTTAGGGTTTAGGGTTTAGGGTTTAGGGTTTACTGTAGTTGATGGTCTCTATATGTCTCTATGGCTGATAAGAAGACTCTCATGCTCCTAACAATTCCTAACATTTTGGGCACCCAATTCGAGAACTTACCATATCAAATCGTAAAACCTCCGGCCCTAAACCCCTTAAACCGGTCAGACGTGCTGCAACAATGCCCAGAAAGGCTGTAGCCCCAATCGTTTGGTTGGTGTAGGTAGGTACCAAATAAGCAATCCCCTTTAGCACCTTCAAACCCGGCTGGTAATATAGGAGTCGGAAAAATTACTAAGATTTTTCCCTTAGGGTCCCTTTGTAATTCTACAATAGTAACCCCAAAACCCTATTCTAATTAGTCAGGCTCCTACATTGGATTAACCCAGTCAGAGTGCAGGCCAAGGGGCCATCAAACTCGAATTTCGAAGCGTCACCGTCCCATTTGCCACAAATGCGCCGCCTAGCTCGACTTTGCCTGCGGATTGGCTGTGGGACATCACCACCTGCGCATTGTTCAGCGTGAGTGACCTCGGAACATCTGGTGAGCTAGCAGTGGCAAGAATACAGCTCAGGGCAGTCAAGAAAGGGATCCCCAGTTGAAACAACATGGAACAACCCCCATGCGGGCAGTTCTCTGCACTAGGGTCCGTTTTTGGGGGTCCTATCGAACTACCCTAAACCCTAAACTTTAAACCCTACACCCTAAACCCTTTTGAGCAACAGACTTTGGAGGCTGCCGGCAAACATGCAACTTCTCAGACACCCTAAACCCTAAACCCTAAACCCTACCCATGTGACTCTGTGAGGCACTGTAGGTCCAGGCGCAGCGACACAAAGTGCAGCCATCCGCTGAGGACGAAGTCTCCGCCTGCCAGCGTGCCGCTGCCCTGGAGCTCGGCTCCTTGATGGGTTGATTGCCATCCCTTAGGGTCTCAGGGTTTAGGGTTTAGGGTTACATCTTTGTACGGTTGTAAGTGCCTTAAAGTTTTTGATATAGGAAAGCTTACTTCTATCCCTTCTTGGAACTACCCAGAGGGACCTTCAAGTCTCCTCAACGTGATCGTGGGCACTACGTGACTTCTTCAGCGTCAGCCACAAAAAGCACCGTGGAAGACCTCAAAACCCCTCAGAGGCCCAGGCCCTGGTGTGAAGGCGGCAACCTCGAAAGAGCGGACCGGAGCAACCGCAACGGGATAATGGCGACCTAGACCCTAAACCCTAAACCCGAAACCCTAAACTCTTGTGCTCACTCAGAGGCCATCTCGCAGCGGATGTCGCAAAGGAACCGCGCCCAGAGCAACCCTACGGCAAGGTGATGGTGTCGGAAAGCTTGCTGTTTCGCAGCCTTTTTGCTCAACATGCCGCAGGACTGTCACATAGGATTCTTGCCCAGTCAGCAAATGACGACTTGCACACCAGAAGGCCAACGGTCATGTTGGCAAATGCCTGCGCTTTGCGATAAGACAGTACTTCTGGATGCGTCCGGCCTTTCGTTTGCGGTCACATCCTGCCGAGAGGGGCCCCGAGAGTCAGCCGTCCGGGTTAGACTGTTCGACTTCCACCTCACAAGTTTGTTCATGCTGTTTCGAACCGGCGTGTCTGCCACTAAGGGATTCGGATCGGCTGACTGCGGTTTTGGCAGCAACAGGGTTACACACCCTTGTTCCTCTCGTACACAAAGGTTGTTTAAGCAGTTTGGGCTCTGGAGTCTCTCGAGCACCAAAGACTCCTTTTGAAAGGCCCACCCTAGTGGACTCGGTGAAACAGAGTGGCGATGGTCCCTGCTGGTATGTATTGAGTCATATCTGATCAACAGTCCAGAGCTGTGGATTCAGCAAAGGGACCACTAAGTCATACTTCCGCACCACGTGCCAGAAGGCATTCGTTTCATTGGGCAACACATGCATCGGGCAGTGGTCGTAGGCATAGCAGAAGTGATCCCGTTCAGCGTTTCCGGAGCTTGCACATCCACAGGCCTCTGGGCAAAACCATGCCAGCGGCCGGTAGTACTTGCTGCCTCTGCACCAGTCTTCGCCAAACATGTCCGTCGGCAACAGCTGCAAGGCCACACAGCCGAAGTCTCGGGCGTAGGCGACCCAGTCCACAAGGGCCTGGGATGAAGAGTAGGTGAATCCGCTGTGCCATTCGATCAAGCCGATGTAGTTGTCCCAAAAGTGTCGCCAGCCTGGCCCGGGAAGTGCATCCTTGCATCCCAAGGTGTGGTTGGGCACATTGCCATACAAGGGGCTTCCTACCGCAAGGCTGAATCCGTAGGCTTCTTGGATGCAAACTTCGCGGCACCCGCGAGCGGGGTGCTTCAACATCGGCGACGACCAGGGATCCGTGCAACCGCACTCATCCGGACAGGCCACTCGGAGCCACTTTGCTGCGGTACTCACGAGCTGGCCAAGGCTGGCACCGGCATCCTCGTTGCACCAATGCTTCAGCTCCTGCAGCTTAAGCACAAACCCAGACACTACATGTGAACTCCGAAGCTTCATGCTGGAAAGTTCGTGTGATCTACGAGGAACCCCAGGTCCTGGCAACTCTGGTTAGCTTGAAGCCGCGGCGATGAAGAGAGAGAAGTCCCCGCCAAGGCCATGTCTGTAGCAGGCGTCATAGCGGGTTTTGTAGCGGTAGTAATCCTCACTCATCCACTTTCGAAGGACGCTTAGAGCAGGCGTCGGGTAAGGAACCACCCGCTCCCCTTCAGATGTCGGAAAAGCGTACTGCATGGCCATGGCTTGCGCGTACGTTTGGCTGCCTTCGATGCCGCCGCGTACACCATCCTCGTCTGGGCCAGTGGTGTTTGCGAAGCCGACGATCTTATCGTTGCTGCCAAGGGCAAACGTGAGAGTTCCTCCACAGAGTTGCTTCTTCACTGCGAGCATGTCATCTGTGAGGGGGAGTAAGAGCAGGAAGTATGGCAGAAGAAGTCCGGTCAAAAGGATGCAAGCCAGAACGAGGTTCTCCACCCGAGGCCATCGACTGCTCTTTCTCATCATGACTGGAGGCAACCTTTGGATTTGCTGCTGAAAATGCGTGGGCACAAACGCAGAAAAGATGAACTCATCCACGTGCAACACGGCCTCGAGCGCCACTGAGTTGAGCATAAGCTCGGTGATGGAGGTTGTGCGTGACAGCCACAATGTCCCTGACACCAAGAGAGCACAAGCCACCGCTGCTCGGCCCAGGCATACGAAGGCCATAGCAGCAGCGCGACGTCCTGACAAAGCTGGCACGCCTGGACGGACTCGCTTTGCTGGGTTTGTCTGTCTGTCACCGAACAAGACCGCTTGTAAGACGTACCAGACTTGCCGCAACTCCCCGGTGACGCAGATGATCCAAAGGAGAATGCAAAGCACCGCCAGCAGGGCCCCCGGTTGAAAGGAAGTCACGGCAAATCCCCTTTCTCCAAGTTTTTCAGGACCGAGATAGCTGTTGATGCTGCTGACCAAGGTGACCTGCGTGGCGGAGTAGAGCAACGACCCATCCTCATCGCATACCCTGGTGGCCAAGCTCCTGCCAGCAAGGTCGACGAATTGGACATCGTGTGCAAAACTACTGCGCCACACACGCGCGGTCTGTAGATTGGCTGAGAAGCCTTCTCCGAGGAACCAGAAAGACGCGATAATGAAAGTGAAGAGACTCTGCATGGCGACATTCACGATGAGGAGCGCGCACACAAAGACACTCTCAGCAAAGCTGTTCATAGAGAGGACCAAGGGAATTGACCAGGCACTTTTCCGGTCAAAGCAGATCAACTCCTCCTCTAGGTCCTCTTCGGCACATTCCTCTGCTTCTTCCATAGCAGCCTTAGCATCCGTCTCAGGTGAGACCTGAATGCTCCCGTCAGCCTCACGCTCGACTTCTTCCTCGCCCGAAGAGACCTGGGCTTTTTGAGCAGAAACTACCATAATAGGGGCCTTAATGATTTTCAATAGGGTTTTTGGGGCTTTATTATGGTATCATGATATAGGGACCATGAGGGAATACTATTAGTAACTACTCCGACCCCTAGATTCTTCGGGCCTTGGGCTTACAGGGTTAAAGGGTGAGCCTCCAAACAGTACATCCCTCAGCCCGCAGGCTTGAAACCTTTGCAGCCGCGAGAAAACTTCATCTCGGCGAGAAGCTATCTGCTTCAGTTTCTCCACCTGAGGGGTGTCCGAAATTCGGGGGTACCTTGTTGGGGTCCTTATGAAAAAGGGGCATCCTACTCTTTGGGGTCTATATTCGGGGTCCCCTCTCATTTTCGTAAGCCCCCACCTGGGACTTGACAGCGGCCAGCTCGAGGTACAAAACGCTGCTGAGCTTCTCCAACTCCTCGTCCACGTGGTCTTTGGGAACGAAGAGCTTGGGCATCCCCGCAAGAAGCGGATGCAGGATGCACCACTCAGGGTGTGCTGCTTGAGAGACAGCTCAAGGTGTCTCAAGCAAAACGGCTCAGAAGTCAAGCCAAGCAGACATGTTGCCAGGCCCCAAGCACAAGGTGTGCCCTAAGGGTAAGAACGCTCGAAACCCTCGGCCCCAGGCGTTGGTGACGCACCCTGATCGAACCGGAGATGGCGACCTCGAGTGGCAAGTTTAAGTGTAAGATTCATGGTCTAGGAGTCTAGAGCATGACGATGCCTGACGATTCGGGTGCAAGTTGAAGGCTTAGGGAACTCTCCTCCAAGCAAGCATCACTCTCGCCACCTGAGAGGGTCTCGATGAACAACCTGTCACGTCTGGGGGCCCAGCGTTCCGAGGCAGGCTTGACCTAAGCGGAGAGGACTCATCATAAGCATGGGGGGTTGATCTACCCTGAATGGAAGACTCCATATTATTCCATACTGCCCGAGAAGGGTCAACGCAAACGAGACCGTATCTCTAGCTTGACCACTATTGAGCTCTCGAGCTTCGGAATGGCTCAAAGGTGATAAAGCAGCAGCTCAGCACACAGAAACATACGGTACTAGACTATGCGATACAGAACTCTACCATTCCATCGCAGAATCCACCACCCAGTCCGCGCAACAAGCTCAAAGAGCTTGCTACAAGAGTAGTTCAGTGTCTAGGGCTTGTACTTGGGATGCAGGCAACCCTTTTCCTTAAACGTTTAGGGTTTAGGGTTTAGGGTTTAGGGTTTAGGGTTTAGGGTTTAGGGTTTAGGGTTTAGGGTTTAGGGTTTAGGGTTTAGGGTTTAGGGTTTAACTCAAAACCCTCAACCCTGAACCCGACGTGCAGCACAATCGTGACAAACAACTTGGAGTCGCGACGGGCCCCTGCAGCTGGCAGTCGCCAGTCAAAGCCGCCGACCTGGATATACTACAGGATCCTACCTCTTCTCTAGTTCATTATAGGGTTAATATTAAAAATTTGAATTTATATTCCTTATTGGGTTTAAGTACCCTTAAAACAGTAAAATGTTACCCAACTATGACTGAGTTCTCTTGTATTGTATCATAGTATGCATATATCATGGCAACTTTCCTTGACAAAGCTCTCTCTTGCAGGATGCGCCATAACCATTTGCCAGCCGGCCCTACCCGAAACCCGAAACCCTAAACTCCCTAAACCCAAACCCTTTTGCCGGAGGGCTCCCTTACCCTAAACCCTGAACCCTGAACCCTAAACCCTAAACCCCAAACCCTAAACCCTGAAAAGGTTCAAACCAAGAGGCATCTGGGTGGGCTCCAAACGAAAGCAGCCCGAGGGAATGGGCTGGCCATCACACCAGGCTCGCAGTTGCTCCGCGCTGACGTCCACGCAGGCCTGTGCGCATGAATTACCGTGCTACAGCTATGTTGTTAGGCCCTGGCTTCGGATTTCGAATGATTCATGGACACAGGTGGAGGGGCGGATGTGTGTGTGTGTGTGGAGGGATGGCGAGTGGGGGCATTAAGTCAAGTTTCAACTTCTACCTGGACAGTCCAAACAACCAGAGCGATCTTCTAGTGCACAAGCTATATATACATATATACCTATATGTACATATATATATATATGTCCATGTAATTTTGAAAGCTTAGTACGTATTCGCCCTCGACTCCCCGCCTGCCGTGCCTTGCGAAGCTTCGGGGGCGCGCCGCCTTCATCAGTACTGAGCATGCGATGACGTGGAGGCACTTGAACCGTCAGGGGTTAGGGTTTCGGGTTTAGGGCTTAGGGTTTAGAGTTAATGATCTAAGACAGGGTACGAAGGGGTACCGCGTGCAAATGCAACCTGCCACTCCAATTTCTTTCAGCCCCAATTTTCTTTCAGTTTTGTCAGTTACACCCACATGTTAGGACGATTCGCACGGTCAGGTCGGTTCGGCGTCTTGTAGTTAGGGGAGCCCAAAAGGGACCGCGGCTGGGAAACTGAACCATTCCCACTGCAGGTAACGCGAGCCCACCCAGCTGGCCAGCAGAAGCAGCAGGCAGCGCGAGCGCCAGTACAACCCAAGCTCCATACATTGGCCACGGCTGCCAGCCTCTTTGCTGCAAAGGAGCCAAGGGGCTACGGCAGAGGACCCACACTCATTCATGAGGCAGACTCATAGAAGTCGTCTCTCGTCAGGCGCATAAGGCGCCATAGACTTCTGATTCTTCTATATAAACGCACAGCCGCCGGTAAGAGATCTTAATGCTCATCGCACACAACTGCCACGAGATCTATACAAAGGCGCTTGCAGCTCAAGCAAGACAGGACTTAAGATCCTCCCGATGACACAAAAGCTTACAACTGCATACGCCAGCATCGGCCACAAACAGTTGAAGAGACGACATGCACATCGCACGTGCCACACGCCGCTGTTCAAATGCACAAACGTAAACATGTAGCACCTAGATTAAAAAAACACACATACACTGCACGACTTCGATAAAAAGCAACGCGCACGAGGCTGAGGCGAGCATGACGTCGAAGCGGCGCCTGTCGAGGGAGCGTGCGCTCGGGACTCGGGCGGGAGCATGATCTCGAACACGGCGACGAATCCCTTTAGAACCCAGGGTTTAGGGTTTAGGGTTTAGGGTTTAGGGTTTAGGGTTTAGGGTTTAGGGTTTAAAAAGCAAGGTAGCTCAAGAGTCAGGATAACCCGTCCCTGCCACATTCTCGCGACACCGATCGAGTCCAGAAGCAAGAACCGCAACGGGACTGGCAACATGCAGACGGGGCTTGGACAAGACCGGACGAATGGTGCAATAAGGTTTTTAGGGTATGGGGTATAGGGTTTAGGGTTTAGGGTTTAGGGTTTAGGGTTTAGGGTATGGGGTATAGGGTTTAGGGTTTAGGGTTTAGGGGGCTTGTAGCATGAAAGCACATCATGCGTCTGCAACCTCAGGGTGTGTGCACCTCTTCAAGGTGACCCAGAAGGTGGGTTTAGGCCTAAAATTTCGAGTTAGGGTTTGGCTTTGGGGGGGCATCCCCCCCGCCTTGTTGCAGATTTGTGAGAGCATGCTTTGACCTTATGGAACCTCTGGAGGATTTGTGCTGGGTTTTTGCACCTTCTACGCTGTTGAACCGAAGGTTTCTGGCGACTCTGCGCAAGGAGGTGGTGACGGTCTCAGTCCGCAAGAAATCAAGGATATTCCCAGATCCAGTCGGGCCACATTCGGGCTTGAGGCAAATCCACGTCGGCCGAGTTCTCTTGGGGTTCACAACAAGGGCTCAAAAAACAAGCCGGGACCCAGCAGTCCCCAAAGCGAACATGGGCAACTCTACCACCAGTCTCCAATCTGCTCGAAACAGCTTTTCTGGCATGCAGATGTGGGGAGCCAAGTGCAAGATCACGCCAGTTGGAAGCTCTTCTGTGACAGGCAGGACAGCAAGTTGACTGTCAAGTGGACAGCAAGTGGACAGCAAGTCGAGGCAGTAGGGATGCCGAAAAAACATGGGGCTGATTCAAATCATAGTTCGCGATGCGATGCATCTGCTCCCGTTATGGATTGAAGAACAACCGTCATGCGAAGGGTTTTGGGCTTTTGGGGTGCACTTGATGCGGCTGGCAGCTAAAGCACACCTCATTTTCGACTGGTGTTGCACTCGGCCGTTCCCGGAGCCTCGCTGTACGATCGGCTCTGTGTCGCAACGGCTACTTTTTGCTGGAAACCTGGAAACATTGGCCCTCAAATTCTACCTGCCCGGGATAACAACCCATGACCCAATCCTGTGCCAAACCTATGCTCACATGCGCCGAAACACACGTGTACATTCCAACTGCGTCCCATCACTTCGTGTGCGCACCACCCGTCTCGAGAAGGAGTTGCCGTCGGCGTCGACCACCAACCTTCGGATCTTGGGTTGAGTTGGGGTCTTGATTTATGGTTTAAGCCGACCACCTTACTCATGCCCCCCCCCCCCCCAAAAAAAAAAAAAGACACAAGAAAGCACATCTATCATATAGATTTTGAAGCTACTGTATCCACTGTATCTTGATCAGATCTTCCTACGCCGCTTTTCTGCCCACAAGTCTATGACAGACTCGCTCAGTTGTTGACTTGATGCGAGGCAGATGATAGAGGCTCGGGTGGGGACGACCCCCCTCCTTTCCCCCTCTTCCGCAACACACACAAAGGTACCTATATACATCATCTTACATCCCGGCTTCCCCGCCAGGGTTCAGGTTTAGAGTTTCGAGTAAAGCGCCTGGACAGCCTGAAAGACTCTGTTTGAACCCCCCTGGTGGCAGCTGTTTTGTGCACGTGAACATCGTGCTCTAATCTTGGTGCCACAGGGGGGTTGGGGCTTCGGGATTAAGGTTTTTCTTGGGTTGAGGGTTGAGGATCTGAATCCAGATTACGCACAGGGGGACTCATCCGAATCGTTGCAGGTTCTTGAACCCTGCCTGTTAGCCCCAGCCACCAAGCCACCCCCCCTCTAAACCACCAGTACGAGGTGATTTGGCCAAGACATGCTGAAGCGATGCAGACAAGAGGAAAAGCAAAGGGAAGCGCAATCAGACTCGAAACTGAGGCTACAGACGTATCGCAGAGACCACCTTCCCCAGGAGGAAACTCTGTGACCATCTCCTGCACAGGCAAGAAGTGGGCAGGAAGACCTTTTTTGAGCCCAGACTCGTCTTCATCAGCTCTTGTTGCCTAAACCCTAAACCCTCTCTCTCTAAATCCTAAACCCTAAACCCTATATAAGGAACCGGAGACCCTTCGCGAGTCCAGCTCGTTCTCGGTGGACTTGGTCAGGCGCAGGCGCCTGATGCTAGGGGCCCCAGGGGATCAATCTCAGAAACACGAAGAATGATACAGCCCATGGTTACACATCGTGGCTTTAGCCATAAGCAGTAATGATGATGATGATGATGATGATGATGATGATGATGATGATGATGATGATATGATATGATATGATATGATATGATATGATATGATATGATATGATATGATATGATATGATATGATATGATATGATATGATATGATGATGATGATGGCGGCGACGACCTCATGGGGGCAGCACCTGTCAAGCCCAAGGCACATCTCGCCACGCATCCGACCAGCCGGAGGGACAGGCTTAGGTACCCAAGCGCCATCCATAGGCAGGAGGTCCTCTACGGTCACCTGCGTTGACCCCTTTGAGGGTTTAGGGTTAAGGTTTAGGGTTTAGGGATTAGGGTTTCGGGTTAAGGTCTAGGGTTTAGGGTTTAGGGATCCTCTGAACATGTTCCTGAATATGATCCAACTAATTCACCGAATCGAGAAGATACGCAGCAAAAAAAACATTCTTCAATGGCCTACCAAGTCACAAGGTTTTTCACCACAAAGTTGACATGAGTTGCTGACTTGCTGATGATCATCACGGACCTTCAAAGAGAAACGAGGTCACCAAGAGTGGTTGAAGGGTTCATTGATGGTGATAAAGTACGGAAGCCTAGATTATACTTGAGGTACTAAAACCCTACCCACCGAGCTTAAAGCAGACGGTACAGCACAAGTGATGCATAAGGCGATCCAAGCGGCGTCTTCGCGTCTGCCGCCTTTCGAATCAAATAGTTCACTCCCATGTCCTCTATCCAGGTGACGAGATCCGCACATCCGCATGCCAGGGCTAGGAGAGCCTTAAAACGGAATATGGGCCGCAACAACTACCCTTCCTCACACCTCTGCCCTCCGTGCCCAGGAGATAGCGAAGACATCTGCCAAGGATGCCAAGGTTATCACATGCCGATTTTAACAAAAGACTTCACATTGTTCTGGAATCCTACAGATGAAAACAATCATGAATGATGTTTTTTGCTTATGGCGGCTGCGTCGTGTCGTTGCAGTCGAGGGCAGGGTTGGCTGACGGGCTTGACTTGGGGCTCGAAGATTGAATGGCAAGCGCTATGACGGGAGCCAGAGGTTTAAGGAAGTTCTTGCAGTTCGCTCTGCTTCTGCGAGGCCCAAACAGACACAGAGACAGAGCCAGAGAAAAAGACAGAGAGAGAGAGAGAGTGAGCGAAAGCGAGAGCGAGAGCGAGAGCGAGAGCGAGAGCGAGAGCGAGAGCGAGAGCGAGAGCGAGAGCGAGAGCGAGAGCGAGAGAGAGACAGAGAGAGACAGAGAGAGACAGAGAGACACAGAGAGACGCAGAGAGACACAGAGAGACACACAGAGAGACACAGAGAGACGCAAAGAGACACAGACAGACACAGAGAGACACAGAGAGACAGAGAGAGAAAAGGAAAGAGAAGGCCCTTTCTGCCACGACGTTGTTACGTCAGCCCATGACCAGGGGTCCTTCAGGATGGGTTCGTACTTCTCACTGCAGCTCTTGTCCTTGGGATTCGGAACTTGGCTTCACCGCTCGACTGGGGGATGCTCATGGAACGACACCTTTTTGCTTGGAAGGATTGAAGGAAGCTTGAGTAGCCTGGGCCCTAAACCCTGAACCCCTAAGCCCTAAACCCCGAAGCAGCCACCCTTGAATCTGTGGTGAATCGGTCTGGAAGCCTTTTGCACCACCCGATGCGCAAGAATCATTCGGCTACACCACACCCCCAAATACCAAAAGACATCTAGAACCAGCTTCTTCCGCCATGCTGTTTCGGCCACACTGCAAGTAATCACCAACATGTGCTGAAAACCAGCATTGAACCACAGTGAATCAGTTCACCAACCTCAACACCCCAACCCTGAAACCCTGACACTGCTGCACATGAGACGTACAACCTCCTCAAACGGCTTAAGGCAGGTATGTGCAACACCGGCCTGCCAGGAAGTAGTAGCCGAGTAACCCACCCAAATGCCAGCCCCAAGCCCCCTTAAATCCCTCTTTGAACCCAGGCTCCGTGCTGGGACTGAACCCTTCATTAACCCTATAATAACCCCTGCAACTACGACTAGAAAGCCCAGGCTCCAGCACCCAAGTGCCCGACCAGCGCGGGGCAACCTCGCGCGCCTCCTGCCCGTCGCCCTCGTCGCACGCGTTGCGCGTTGCGGCTGCGGAGGGGCTCCGCGCAGGGCTGGGGACCTGGGTGCTGCGCAGGCTTCGTCTCGGTCGCACGTGGAGGCTAACCGATCTCGACTTGAGACGCTTCGCAGTGGGGGCTTGGGGCGTCTGGGAGGGGGGTTTGGGGGGGGAGGTGTTGGGCTTTTGCACCGCGAAGGCAAGCTTGGCTTCTCGACAAGACACTTGCGTTGGGGGCCAAGATCCTAAACCTAAACCCGTCACCCTAAAACCCGAAACCCTTTTTTGGCATCTGGACTGTGGGAGCCAATCAGCCAGAATACTTGTAAACCCTTAACCCTAAAACCCTTAGACCCTTAGACCCTTAAACCTTAAGCACCCCAAAACCCAACTCCCCCCTGCGAAGCCTCGGCTTTGAGTCTTTCGGGTCGGGAGCCCATGCCAAGAGGCTTGCCGCGAGAATGACTCAACTCTCACCAGCTGCTCAGCCTGGGCTCACTAGGGTTTAGGGTTTGGGGTTTAGGGCTGCTTAGGGTTCAATTAGGGTTTAGGGCTGTTTAGGGTTTGATTAGGTTAGGGTTTAGGGTTTTTTGGAGCACACGCATGGTCTTTTTTTGCCACCCACGTAGCTTTAGGGTTTGGGGTGTGCGCGGTCCATATATTGTAGAACCAACTTCCTGGTGAAGCCTATTTCCGAAACCGTTCTGGTTTAGGGTTAGGATTGTGTTGTTCCCAAGGTTAGGGTTTCGGGCTTCGGCTCTAGAGATTAGGGTTTAGGGCTTGGTTCTAAGAGGCAAAACTCCACAAGCCACTGTGCTAAAGGAGCGCTGTGGTGCAGGCCGCGGTGCTTTAAATGTGACCTGCTGAACTCGCTGGGACTGAATCCAATAAAGTGCCAGCGGCAAGCCGGCCACCTCGCGAGTCTGAACCAAAAAAAAGGCGGGGCTCAAAGCGTGGCACGGATCTGCTCGGATTCTTGTTAACTGAAAACTCTTAAGGAACTGTACGTTTCTTCTGTCTGGAAAGCTACTCTCAAAACCTGAGGGCACGGCGGCATACATAAAGGAACTGCACCACCAGATGAAGACGAAGGCTGCACCTCGGCAACAGTGCCCGGCTTTAGGGCCCCCGGCTGCCCCCCCCCCCCCCCCGGACCACAGGGGCCGGCCACGATGGCATCAGCGGGCACCGAAAACCAAACCCTAAATCCGAAACCCTAAACCCTTTTTGCTAAACCCTAAACCCTAAACCCTAAACCCTAAACCCCAAACCCGAACCGGTCGGAGATGGCTCTCGTTATGGGAGTTGAGAGCGTTGGGCGTCGCAAGGGCTTCATCCATACGCCTTCCATCAGACCTTTTGGGACAGTTAGAGTTAGAGTTTGGGGTCTAGGGTTTAAGGTTTAGGGTTTAGGGTTTAGGGTTTCGGGGTTTCGGGGTTTCGGGTATTTGAAACTAAGTCCAGGGCCCATGGCCCCAAGCGAAGATGAGGCCATTGCAGCGTGGACAAGGCTGCTGCTGAGGACTTCAACCTCAGGCGTCAAGAGTTCGCATCCTGGGGTTTAGTGTTTAGGGTTTAGGGTTTAGGGTTTAGGGTGTAGGGTTTAGGGTTTAGGGTTTAGGGTTTAGGGTTTAGGGTTTAGGGTTTAGGGTTTAGGGTTTAGGGTTTAGGGTTTGGGGTGTAGGGTGTAGGGTGTAGGGTGTAGGGTGTAGGGTTTAGGGTAGGGTTTAGGGTGTAGGGTTAGGGTTTAGGGTTTAGGGTTTAGGGTTTAGGGTTTAGGGTTTAGGGTTTAGGGTTTAGGGTTTAGGGTTTAGGGTTTAGGGTTTAGGGTTTAGGGTTTAGGGTTTAGGGTTTAGGGTTTAGGGTTTAGGGACCCTAGAAACCCTGAAGCTGACACCCTGAAGCTTTTTGGCTCAGGGATGCTACGGGCTTAGGGCGAGAGCAGCCGCATGCGGCGACATGCAGCGCAGCCACCCGAAGCGAGCACTCGGCCTCGGAGACACCTCGGAAACGTGCCCGTGATTGGGCTCTAAACCCTAAGGCCCTAAGGGCTCTAAACCCTAAACCCTAAACCCTAAACCCTAAACCCCAAACCCTGAACCCTATCGCGGTAGGATCCTGCAGGGCTTGGGGACCCCCAAAAGCGCACGTGACTGCACTACAGCCTTTGCCACCGGAATCTTAACCAGAACCCCGCCCTTTTTGCATCAGGACTTGTGCAATCGCCCCCAGGGTGTGAGCACACGGATACTCAGTGCTGGTGACTGCGTGTCCACGCCTTGCTCAAGAAACTCGGTAACTCGAGGGGACCACTTCAAACACGCACACACGATGGATAGCAGAACCCCGCCCTAAACCCTAAACTCTCTTTATGTACCCTCCGAACCACACCCTCCCAATCCTCCAGGGAAGCAAACTCCCCGAGCATTTGGGCCCCCGAGAACTGGAGGCCCGCACCCCTCCCCAGCGGCTCGACCTGGCTGCAAGCGGAGCCAGGGTTCAGGGCTTGGTAAGGAGTTCAGGTTACGATATTCGGGGTAGCTGATTGGGGTCCAGTTTGGGGTCTACATCAGGGGTCCCTATTTTGGGAAGCCCGCGAGCTCCCGCCCTCTGCACGAGGGAGCCGGCGCATGGCTTCAGCCAAGCCAGCGCCGGCGCTGCTGGTGGTCTCTGGCCCAGGCATCCCGCTGCAGCTCACACTACAAGCATTGTTCCCCGGGGCTGCAGGGCCTCGCCATGCCTCGCCCCTCGGGCGGCCAAGACTGTCAGGGGCGCCACCGTCCGATGCATGCCGGCTGTTGAGACTGCGCAAAACAGCAACATGTAGCTAGCCACGCCCGCGAGCCCCTAAGCCCTAAACCCAAAAATTGCCCAGGATCTCCGTTTTTTGAGTTGGGTGCAGCAACAAGCGAAAGATGGAGAACGCTTCTGCATGGGTAGCTTCCCAGGAATCAACACGCGGCCCCACCTGACAACGACTTGACTTCCTCCAAACTCAACTTCACCAACCGCCTCAGACTCAAGTGCCTACCAGCCTACCCTAGAGTAAACCCCGAAACCCTAAAGACCCGAAACCCCGCAACACAAGTCGGAGTGACAGGGAGGGCGTGGATGCCAGGCACGCAGCGCTCGACGGCGAGCCGGCAAAGGGCCTCACGCACAGGAAGGCGAAGCTCAAATCGCGCTTCAGGGACTTTAGGGTTTGCTACATGGTGGCTCCTGGGCGCTATTAGAAGAAGCGGAGGGGCTACATGCAGGGGCTGTGCCCCTTCGGAAGGGCCAGTATCTTATTTCGGGGGGCATTCAGAAGGGTAAACTTTGGACTCTGACACCCTAAACCCCTCTTTGCAACACCCTAAACCCTCTAGATCCTACACCTACCCTGAGCCCAAAGCTCCAAGCCCAGCCTGCATTTGACTGCGAGGCCCATCCTTGCCAGGGGCGGACTGATTGCCCCCCGGCTTTCTGAAGCCCACAAATCTGTTTTGCTTCTAAGGTTTAGGGCTTAGTCTAGGAGTCCAACATTTCGACTCACACACTCAGATGAAGCCGGTGCATCAGGCGATTAAGGACAGCCAAGAGTACAGGCGCCTAAGCCAAGGGAGGATTCTGGGTCAGCTACTCTGCAGAAGCTGGGCACGATGTATGTTTTCAGGCTTGCATTGGCTCGCCTTGTACCGTAAATCGACAAAACTCGGGACCCTTGTTCAAACCCCGTGCAGTCCAGCACTAGCAGCATGGCCGGGCGCGACGGCTGGACTTGAACGGTCGCCGCGTGTCGCCAGGGCAACACCTGATGGAGCCGTCAGCAGCAGACTGGGAGACTTCCTCACATGAATTACTACTGCAGTTGAATGGCAAGACTTGAAGGAACCCCGACCGAACTGCAACAAGAAACAATCAACCAACAAACAATGGCGTGTGCGCGCCCGTCCTTCTTTTTGGGATTGACTCACTGATGTGATGCCATCTGGTCAACAATTTGGATGAAGAACACGTACTCTTGGAGCCCTCAATTGCCACGCATGTCCATCTTTTCATAGGAACAGGACAACATCTATGGCCTCTACAGCTTAATCATTTGAATAAGAAACATGTCTTTCTATAAAAAGGTCAAGGAAAATGCGCAGAAACGCAGGTTTCCGCATTGGCAGGTAGAGGAAATAAGCATACGCATTCCTTCAGGTTTTCTATTTTGAAAACCACGTGCTGTGACATGCCGCGTGCGTGATTGCCATGCATTTTTTGCAGTACGTTTTGCATTCTCAGCACACTTCGAGTGCAGAGTTTCAAGTAGGAACACGCTCTTCTCAACGGCCTCAACCACTCTTACAGGCGATGGCGGCCTCGCTGGAAGCCTCAACCCTCTCGGACGCTTGGTTGTTGAATCAACAAGCTTTGCGTCCCTCTGAGGTCCGCTTAAAACCCTACTGTTTAGGGTTTAGGGTTTACGGTTTAGGGTTTAGGGTTTAGGGTTGTTTAGGGTTAGGGTTTGGGGTGTAGGGTGTAGGGTTTAGGGTTTAGGGTTTAGGGTTTAGGGTTTAAGGTTTAGGGTTTAGGGCGAGAAACCCGGGCTTGTTTGCGTCGGCCCTAAACCCTATTAACCCTTAGAGGCCCTCGAATGCTTGGAGCTTCAGGGTACTTAATAACCCCAACGATAACTGTACTTCCAATTAGGTTATGAGTAGACTTTGAGATGCTCCCCCTTTCACTAACAGTCCTCAATGGGGACTAACAGGCCTCCAAGTAAACCCTAAACCCTAAACCCTAAACCCTAAAGCACAACATCACTTCAGGAGGCCCCTGGGGCACCTTCTGGGTACCCTCCGGGTTCAGGAGGACAAGCTCTGGGTCCTGGAGCGGCATGGGGGCCTTAACAATTAGAACAGGGTTCTGGGGAGATATTCTAGCATAGTAAAAACAGGGACCATAAGGGAATACTATTAGTAATTCTGCCGCCACCTACCGTATTTGTTGCAGGTCTACCTAGCTGCTGACTGCCCTGGCCAAAAAAAGGGTTACTGTAACCGTTCACCCAAAAAGGCTGAAGGTCTAAGACTTGGCTCTTCAGTGTTCGGGAGGTTTGAGAGTTGCATCTTGTGAGTGGGAGGGTACTTATTTGGTGGTTTCCGAAGTTCGGGTACCTCTTTAGGGTCCTTAGTATAACGGGAATCCTACTATTTGGGGAGTCTTTTTTAACCCCCCCTTCTCGTAAACCCCCATTTGTGGCCCTTGGGCACTGGTAGTATAAGGGGAACATCCCAATCTGGATCAAGAGCCCTAAACCCCCAGCTGCCGAAAACCTTTAAACCGTCATGATGCCGTCATGGGGAGATGAGGCCGTCTCCCAACCAACCCTAAGCCGCAAACCCCAACCCCGCCTCAAACTCAGTCCGCTGGGCCCGAAACGTTCCTAGCCCAAGATCGCGCCTGCCGACCGTTGCAATCCACGGGACGCTTCCTGCCATCATCACAGGCACCTCCATTCAAGCTCCTGCTGGCAAACAATCCGCTAAACCGAGGAGGGTAGCATCTAAACCCTCTGAAATTATCCTTAAACCCGAAACCCTAAACCCAAAGCCCCTTCTGAGCATAAACCCTAAGGGTCAACACACGAAAAACCCTGGGTGTGTGGGGAGGCCGCGGGCCTGAGGACTGGCTCAGGGTTCAGGGCTTAGTTTAGGGTTAAGGGTTTAGGGTTTAGGGTAAAGGATTTAGGGTTTAGGGTTTAGGGCTTCGGGTTTAGGGCTCCGCGTTTAGGATTTTGAGTCTAGGGCTTAGGGTTTAGGGCTTAGGGCTTAGGGTTTCGGGTTTAGGGTTTAGGGCTTCAGGTTTAGGGTTTAGGGTTTAGGCGGGGAACGACCACTACAAAGCATCATCTGAGCGTCCTCGACGCGGCTTCGTCCTGGGCCTCCCCGGCCGCGGGACCTGCCCAGGTTTAGGGTTTAGGGCTTCGGGTTTAGGGTTTAGGGTTTAGGGCTTAGGGCTTAAGGTTGAGGGTTTAGGGTTTAGGGTTGAGGGTTGAGGGTTGAGGGTTGAGGGTTGAGGGTTGAGGGTTGAGGGTTGAGGGTTGAGGGTTGAGGGTTGAGGGTTTAGGGTTTAGGGTTTAGGGTTTAGGGTTTAGGGTTTAGGGTTAGGGTTTAGGGTTTAGGGTTTGGGTTTAGGGTTTGGGTTTAGGGTTTCGGGTTTAGGGTTTAGGGTTTTAGGGTTTTAGGGTTAGGTTTAGGGTTTAGGGTTTAGGGTTTAGGGGGTTTAGGGTTTAGGGTTTAGGGTTTAGGGTTAGGGTTTAGGGTTTTTAGGGTTTAGGGTTTAGGGTTTAGGGTTTAGGGTTTAGGGTTTAGGGTTTAGGGTTTAGGGTTTAGGGTTTAGGGTTTAGGGTTTAGGGTTTAGGGTTTAGGGTTTAGGGTTTAGGGTTTAGGGTTTAGGGCCCCACCTGCGCGGAAAGACCCATCAGGCCGGGCCGCCGCGCGGATGGCTTGCAGCCACTTCCTTCTTGGAAGTGCCCGGAGGTTTTTTGCAGTTTAGGTTCAGGGTTTAGGGTTTAGGACAAAGGGTTTCGGATTTAGGGTTTAGGGTTTTTGGGTTTGGGGTGCAGGGTTTGGGGTTTAGGGCTTAGGGTTTTGGGTTTTGGGGTAAGGCCTCTCGGGTTGCAGGGAGAACGACCCTAATAAAGGCACGAAGCCCTGAACACTAGCGGCTTCAGCACCCCAAACCCTAAACCCCCTAAACCCTAAACCCTAAACCCTAAACCCTCCTAGACCCTCTTTGAACCTTTGAGAAAGAAACCTTGTCATCCTTTGGGGCCTTTTGACTTTTTGACCCTCACTCCCCCAACACCCGATACCCAAACCCCTCAAACCCCTTGCCTCCCACAACAAAGAAGGCACTTCCAATGCCAACGAGGCCGGCAAGCTAAGCTTTAACCTTTCTTCCATTCAGGTTACGGTTTAGGGTTTAGGGAGAGCTCCTACAGAGCCGCTCAGCACATCGAGCACACTGATGTGTTTTTTGCGGCATGCATTTCAGCTTGGACGTAGCAGCCTCGCCTTCCAGTTTGCCGGAGAGTCGACGCGAATGAGCAAAGCAAGATATGAGATTTCTCCGAACTTTTCCGCTGTTCTCAGTTTGCATCAGCGAAGGTGCTGAGGGAATTACATGCTAGCTACAGCTAGTTTTGCACACTAGCTTCGTAGTCGAAAGCCTTGAGCCATAGCCAAGCCTCAATGCCTAAACCCTGAGACCTAAACCCTACACACTCAACCCTAAACCCCCAAACCCTAAACCTCAAACCCTAAACCCTAAACCCCAAACCCCACACCCTGATCCCCAAACCGATTCGAAGCACCAAAAAGCGCGCCCTGGCTGAGTCGAGGGGCTGCTGCTCCGCCTCGGTCTTGCAACCTGGGATGGAAGCTTTTCGGGCGCAGTGGGCTCGCGTTTCGGCATGTTTTGAGGTGAGGGCTAGGGATTAGTGTCTCTTCTGCTGTTGCTTCAGATGTGGCCCAAGCACTTTTTGTAAATGTGCCAGCTGAGATGATGATGCCTACTGTCGTGATGGCGGTAGGATGTGGGCGTGGGGATTTCGGGCGATAACTGAAGTTACGATTCCAAGCACCCGACTTGCGATTTTGCAGCAGGGTTTGCAACCCTAAACCCCAACATGCCCTATTTCGCAGCCGCATCTCGAGCGTGACCCTCCGATGTATTGTCCAACTCAGGTGTGAGCTGACAATGTCGCGTCCCAGTCGGATGCAGTAGGGCCGCCCCGGCTCCTGCTTACGTTACTTGCTAACAAATTAAAACTGTACTCATCACCCACTTATAAGCCACTTAAGTGTCCTCATAGTAATTGGTTCATAAGTACCATGAACCTCCAAGTAAGGCGCGGGGATCCAGCTAACGCCAGCAAAAAACTCTAACTTCCACTGCGGGTCATCAAACAATGTTACAGGGCTGGTTTGGTTCTTAGTAGGATTTTGAGTTGAGTGATGGGATGAGGCTTTGCGCGGCACTGCACTGCACGGCACGGCAGACAAGGCTGCACCAAACAGGCGGCAGACAAAAATCGACATCTCCTGCCACGGCTCCGAAAAGAGACCTGCACGCTGAGGGCTTAGGATTTAGGACGCTCAAAGACTCGCCCAACACAAAATAGCAAGCTTGGGCTTCGTAGGGGGCTGGCCTGCCAGGGGTATCCTTCCGCGGATCTCATCGCGCATGCCATCATCCTCGGCGCTTCACACATTGAAGCCCAACCAGCTCTAACCCTGAAGCCCTTTCGCAACAGGCAGTTTTGACACCTCGCCCCCTGCCTCCTCCCCAACACATCCTGAGGCTGCAGCGCTAAGAATGGCTGGAGGTGAAACGAAGTAGTTGATGAACTCCTGCCGGGCCCCTAAACCCTAAACCCTAAACCCTAAAGCTTTGGGGGCTTGATTTGAGTCTTCAGGGCTTGGAGAGCTTCCTCATCTTCAAGCAACCGGGGCTCTTGAGTGTTCTGATCCGTGACATGATGATGAATATGTATATATATATATATACATACATATATACTGTTCATATTCAGGTTCATATGATTTCGAATAAGGTTACTGCTACTATCACTATGAACATCACGAAGTTTTTTTTTGGCTGAGCAGCCTCAGGCCAGCTCTAGGCTTGAGGCTCATCAAGGCGTGCCTACGAGTCTGGGGCTTTGGTCTTCAGTGCGCTTTTGGGGATTTGGGGGCTTGGGGTTTTGGGGACTTTGGGGTGTTGGGATTTGGGGACTTTGGGATTTGGGGGTTTCGGGTTTTGGGGTTTTGGGGTTTTGGGGTTTTGGGATTCTGTCCTCTTCCAGAATGAAGAACCGGTCACACCACTCCTTCCTCCAGCGGCTTTGCTTCTCCAGCATGCCAGCGACGCGCTGGCGCCGCGTCTCGCCCATGGCGGAGGCTACAGGGAAACCAGATGTCCCGGAGCCGCCGCTTTCATCACCTTTGTGATCGCCTATGTACAAGAGCTACCTACAACTGGTGCTCAGCCGACGGGTATCAGAAGTCCTTCTGCACATGTGCATCACCCTGGAGCATGCTTGAAGGTGCATGGGCAGTGTTAAGTAGGGGTAGAAGGACCTTATTTCAGGCTCGAATATAGGTGACCTTACTTGAAACCCTACTTATAGCTGCCCATATGAACCTTCAAGTAGTGCCATGGTGCCCGCGAAGTAGGCGTGAACCTGAACGGTGAGGCGTTGCCGTTTTTCGACCAACCGGGCATCTCTGCAACGATGCTCCTTCGAATACACCTGAAGAGATCCAACTTCTTCGCAGAAGCTTCTGTGCAAGGTGAAACTCGAGAATATATCACACACCGGGGGGACCAGTTGGGCCGAACAAGCCGTTAAAGAGCTCACTGAACACAACCCCTCCTTGAAGCACCCTCTACACCAACGCCACCTTGGCCTCCCAATACCAAACACCCTGGCCAAGAAAACAAACCTATTTTTAAACCTTACTCGAGGTCCCTTGTTATAACCTTAATCAAGGTCCTGGTATCCCTACATATAACTGCACATGACCCCGAAACACGCCAAGCGCTATCACAGGCCGCTCTTCTTCCCGGCGAGGCCGAAGTTTACGCCGAGCGAGCTTGGGAAGCCTCAGGCAGGATGAGAGGCTTAGAGGCTGCAAACAAAACAAAAAAAGGGGTGAAAGCTGGCTTGAGGCTTGGTATGGGCGGTTTCTGGCGCCATGGATCACCACCCTTGCGGCGACAATCATAACAGCTTAAGTGACGTGCTTATAACACTTACCACAAGCCATGAACCGTCAAGCATTCCAGCACAGATACCCAGCTTCTCCAGGTTCTTCTTGACGTCGCCGGAGATCTTCTTGAAATCCCCGGATGCCTGTCACAGGCGTTCCCGTGGCGCCGTACAGCTTCCCAATCCTCCTCATTGTTTAACAAAACGATCTTAAAACGCCGAAAATTCAGCGGTCCTCGTTCGCCAAAATATTTTCGCTTTCAGGATCCTGGGCAAGGTTTGGAAAAATTCAGGCTTCCTGGACCCTGCACCAATGACCCCAAACCCTACAACCCTAAAGCACCCTGTTGCATCTAGAGTCTTCAAACGACATGCCGGAAGAGCTGCCCAATTAAATCCTCAACCTTTCACCCTCCTGCATCTGGCTTTGGGATGCTACGCCCTGTTGCGTGCTCAGCCCACGAGGTATGCACACGAGAGAGGGGGAGAAGGCTCCCAGCTTCCGAGCCCATAGACTATCAATCCCGCGAACAAACGCAACGTACTGAAACATCTGCTAAACCCTAAACCCTAAACCCTAAACCCCAAACCCCAAACCCTAAAATGGAATGCTTCTCTCGGCGTGCTGAAGCCGTAGGCTAGGGTTCAGGAAGCGCAACAGAAGGGACTTACGGGGTTCCAAGCTCCGAGTTGCCTCCGGCTAAGCGAAGCCCCGTGAACACCCTAAATCCCACGGCATCTACGGATGTTTAGGGTTTAGGGTTTAGGGTTTAGGGTTTAGGGTTTAGGGTTCAGGGTTCAGGGTTCAGGGCTTAGGGTGATGAATTTTGTTGAGGGGAGGGACTTCAAGGGGCGCAAGTAACCCAATGTTCCCGAACAACCCTCTTTCTCACGACGTTGCTCACGACCTTGCTGCAGCTAAACCCTTCAAGCCTTTTTTTTTGGCGCGGAACTGGCCTGAGACGACTAAGCAATTTTTCACCCGTGCGCAGCAGAGCCCTAAACTTGTTAAACCCCTTTGCTGTGCAGCTGGGACACCCTCAGCACTTTTTTGAGCTTTGGGTTGAGGGTTTAGGCTTTTAGGGTTTAGGGTTTAGGGTTTAGGGTTTAGGGTGTAGGGTGTAGGGTGTAGGGTGTAGGGTTTAGAGTTTAGGGTTTAGGGTTTAGGGTTTAGGGTTTAGGGTTTAGGGTTTAGGGTTTAGGGTTTAGGGTTTAGGGTTTAGGGTTTAGAACCCTGGAACTGTCAAGCCCTGACTGGCGCCTTGGCGCCCTTGTTCAAGGCATCGCCCAGGTAGTTCATGGTGGACCCAATGGATGGCACCTCTAGTCAACACTCACACCCCTCTCCCCTTTAACCCTAAACCGCTTGAACCCAGACTCTTGTCCTCATCAGCCCTAAACCCTAAGCCCTAAACCCGAAACCCTATACACCCTTTTGAGCCAAGCCAAAGCCCTAAACCCAATTTTTTCCTCAAACCACGGTTGAGCGTGGACTGAGGCCTGTGCACCAAGCTGAGGCTCCGCCGAACCTTCGAGGGCTCTCTTGGACAGCAGAGGTGCCGTAAACCCGAAACACTAAACCCTAAACTCCAAGACATAAATCCTCTCTCTCTCACAGGCGCTCAGACATAAATCCTAAACACAAAAACCCGAAACCCTAAACCCTAAACCCAAATCTAGCCCACCGAAGCTCCCCGCAAGGCTCTAGCGGAGTGCAAACAAGTCATGCGAAAAGGCACAGAACTCGTTCGTGATGGCTGGGAGGGGCTTCAGTACTTCAGAGGGCAGCCTCCACCCTAAAAGCATTCAGAGAGCAGCCTCTCTGGGCTTCGTACACTCAGCCAAAATAGCACGGTTTCCCTAAGGGCGTTTGGGAGTTGAACTACTGCTCCGGGGTTAAACTTTACTTGAAGGTTCATGTGGAGTTGTAAGAAGGTACCTATATCGCAACTCTAATCGAGGCCTACTTCAGACTACCTATGAACCTTCAAGTACCTACTCATCAGGTACAACATAGTCACAGGCATCATGTAGGTGTCCCGACACAAGCCCGAATCTCAAATGACTTGCACGGCCAGGTTGCTTGACGTCGCGTCGTTTCCATCCCCTGCGGACGTCTGGTTGCTTAAGGCTGTTTCGCCACTTGTCAAGCAAGAGGTCTGCTTGCTTAGGGGCTCGGGGATCAGGGTGGCCGGGGAGAGTGCTTCGGCTTCAGGGTTCTTAGGGAGGTCGAAGGCCTCCTGCCATCCCCCCAACCTCACCCGCTTTCCTGGGGGCTGTCATCGCGAATAAAAGTATCCAACCTCTCAACTCTTGAAGCCTGAACTTTGGGCTGGGCAACAGCTTTTTAGCACACAACCCCCTTTTGAACCCGCGCTACGCAACTGCCTGAGACGCGACTGCGACTGCACCATCCCCCAAACCCTAAACCCCAGATGCTTTTATGCACCCGGAGTTTTGTTATGAACCCTACACCCTAAACCCTAAACCCCTAAACCCTCCTGACCCCCAAAACTCACGGGGTCAGGGCCCCCGAAATCCGGCGCCTGCAGCGCGCAAGGCCAGGAGCCTCTCAACCAGGGCGTCGTCGGCGCCGAACTGGTCCCCAACCCTGGGGCTTCTGGAGGGTTTAGGGTTTAGGGTTTAGGGTTTAGGGTTTAGGGTTTAGGGTTTAGGGTTTAGGGTTTAGGGTTTAGGGTTTAGGGTTTAGGGTTTAGGGTTTAGGGTCTCTAACCCTAAACCCTAAGCCTTAACCCTCGACCCTAAACCCTGTTAGAATTGGGGAATTCGTATCCCAAGATGTGCTCCTTTTGAGGTTCTGTAGGCAGACATGAGGTGCCTAAGTCTCGAATCGACACTAAGAACTAGCAAGTTTGTCTGGAAGCAATTTAGTTCGCATCACGTGCCATATGGGGGTTGACGAAAAATCAGGGACCCAAAAATAAAACCCAAATAGCAGGATCCCCTTAAAATAAGGATCCACAAAAGTACCCCCTATTTTCGGAAACCCCCCATATACCCTGTCTAAGATGCCTGTTCTTTGGGGAAGCTCCTTAGCAACCCAGTTGTGGGCCAGATCAAGTCAGGTTTCGGGTTTAGGGCTGTGAGGGCTTTCACAAAAAAGCCCCGAAACCCTTTGCCTTTAACTGTTGAACCCCTTTTGCCTCCACCTGAACAGCTCAACTTAAGGGGTATAAGGAGCTATATCATGTACCTTGTGTAGTCTCTATTTTCCGAAGTAGCCCTTCAACAACCCCTAAGAACCCCTAAGGTCCCTTACTTGAGTCCCTTGACAAACCCGAGAAACCTCATCCCAAAGCCCTGCAAGTTAGGGTCTCACTTTCAGACAGGCCATTGGAGCGATTCGCATTAAGGGGACATATCCCAAGGGCCTCGTGGCCTGCGGCACACTACAAGCAACCTTGAAGAGCACCAGGTGCTCCCAGAAGGTTTAGGGGTTTAGGATTTAGGGTTTACGGTTTAGGGTTTAGGGTTTAGGGTTTAGGGTTTAGGGTTTAGGGTCGAGTCACATCGCCGAGATGGAAGCTGCATCCACCACCTGGGTTTCAACACTCGCAATCCCTGAATTCAGGTGAGGCTTCTCTGTTTCTCAGGTTAGGGTATGGGTTGCTTGGTGTTTGGACTTTGTCTTCGGGTACTCTCGGACTCCGGGGGCTTTTGGGGTTCGGGTGCTTTCAGGGTTTCGGCTGAGATTCGCCCTTGCGAACCCCTGAGCCGCTCCTGGGGCTGCCTAAACGCGAAATCCTAAGCCCGAAGCCCTTTTGAACCTTTACTTGAACCCTAAACCCTCTTTTTGAACCTGGGCTCTGAAGTACTGCCAGGTCGAAACCCGAAACCCGAAACCCGAACCCTAAACATCCCTAAACCTAAACCTTAAACCCTAAACCCTAAACCCTAAACCCTAAACCCTAAACCCTAAACCCTCCCCGAAGCACAGGCGGAGCCGCATCCGGCGAGGAGAGGACCTTGAGGATGACCTCGGCCTTCCCCATCTCGCGCCTTTCTGGGTTTGGGGTTTAGGGTTTAGGGCTTAGGGTTTAGGGTTTAGGGTTTAGGGTTTAGGGTTTAGGGTTTAGGGTTTAGGGTTTAGGGTTTCGGGTTTGGGGTTTAGGGGTTCAGGGTTCAGGATGTCGGGTTTAGAGTTTAAGGGTTAAGGGTTTGGGGTTCAGGGCTGAGGGTTTGGGATGGTGTTCTGAGTTTACGGTTTTGTAGCTGACCAGGGCCACATAGCAAGGGCTACATTCTGGCGACAAGAAGAAAACTTTGCACTCCTTCGCCTGTAAGTCAGTTAGAAACCCCCATGACAAGCATCAGCACAGCAGCAATTCAACTCGTGGCAAATTGCCCCTGCTTCGCCATCTGATGCGACGACCGTCTTGAAACACGGCCCGCCGCCTAAACCCTAAACTCAGGGCCTAGGCCGCCCCCCTACGTTGGGGGGCGGCGCTTAAGCCCTTTGACCTCGATGGCACAAGCCGACCCAGGTCGCTCGTCTGAGTTTAGGCCTAAACCCTAAAAGGAATAGGTTTGGGTGGCTTTGCCGCCTTGGACGGCGTGGGGTGGGAGAAAAGTGTTAGATGGCCCTCCACAATCGGGCCAATGCTGCTTTTCGCACCTCACGAAGCTTTCGAGCTTGTTCCGAAACCTAACCTTCACAGCATCTACGCCCTATCACAAAAAACCCTAAACCCTAAACCCTTTTGCATCCGGGCTTGGGGAGTCGGCCGGAAATGGTAAACCCTAAACCCTAAACCCTATACAACCCAGCTTAATCAAGCCTGAGAGCCCAAGAAGTAAATGAATACAGCTCCACTGCTTCTACACTTCCCACACCGACTTAAGAATGTGTGCTGGAAATACGAAAGTGTGAAAGTGTGTTTGAATTACGCGTGGGGGTTTAGAGTCTAGGGTGGAGGGGAGGAGCTCACTAGAGCTCAAAGATGCTCAAAGGGTGCAGAGTTTGGGGTTTCGGGCTTAGGGTTTGACAGTCTGAAGTCGAGATACATACAAAGGCCCATGGGCTTTGCCTTGATGTAGCCATACGGGGGCAACTTAACTTGCGGGGGCCTAGTAAGAACTCTGCTGAAGCCAAGGGCTTGTGAAACGCACACCTCTTTTGGGTACAGTATGTGTACGTTCAGATAGAGCCAAAAAGTGCAGATGAGGCGCAACACGTAGTTGCTGTAGGCTGTGGGCACTGAACGGCCCTGCCCCGCGATCACAGGTGCTTCCAGCAGAGTGGTCTTGATCAGTGCAGTATCCAGCAGAAGCTGCTGGGCCCCCTTTTCGCTGATCTTTCGGCATTTGTGGACCTCTGCCACAAACCGTGCCACGAAGGACTGGACGAACTTGTCGCAAAAGAAGCGGTAATGAATCTTGGAGAGGTGTCGAGCGATAGGTTCAAACTGCTTCGGCAGTCGTTCGCTGATGTCCCCAACGAAAGCGCTATGGTCTCCCACATCCTGATGTTTAGAGCATTTATAGCACTGCGGGTCAAAACTGCAGCCAACCGGCGGCGCCGGAAAGAGCTGATGGAAACGCTACGAGTAGACAGAGCAGTTAGCCTAAAACCGCTAGATCTCCAGGTCCTGCGAGAAGGCCGCCCAGTTGGTGCGGGTCATGCCGCTGAATGCTCCATCCAGGCTGCAGCTCACAGACTCCACGAGCGCGTCGTTCGCGCGGTTGACGAGGTTCCGCAGGATCTCCTGCTCCTCGTGGAAGCCTCAAATGACATGACAGCCTGCAGAAGCAAGCCTCCCTTTTGCATTCCGGGCAGCGCACACTGGTGCTTGCAGACACAGATCACCTTACAGCCCCAGGCCACCCCATGGCCCACCCCCTGAGGTTCGGGCCAATGCGGTCCTGGAAGTCAGTGCTGATGACCTTCAGCAAGGACTCCTCCAGCTGCGGCAGCGTCTCGTCGCAGTACCTCAGGCACGCCCAAGACAGCTTGACGTCTGCAGACGACCCCAGCTGGGGTTCGGGGTTTAGGGCATCAGGCTTCGCAGCAGGCTTCGGGTACTTGTCGGGCATCGGGCCAGGTGCAATCAACTTGTCTAGGCAAGCCACTCCGCCGTGCCGATCGCGCAGCAGACGGCCTGGACCCCAGCAACATCCAGACAGGTCTTCGAGCCGCTGCTGGGGAGTAGGCCAGAAAGCTTCCCGGCATACCTGGGGTCTCGGAACTGAGGAGTTAAAGAAACACAGGACGCCAAAAAGACGGGGACCCATTAAAACCCACAACTGAAGCTCCCCTAAAACGGCCCACTCTGACACCCAGCGTAAGGTGCTGCGCCATGATCTTCCTGAAGACCTGGAAGATGTCGAAGAGCGTATTGTGGGTAGAGAAGCCTGCGCATTTGTTCATGCTGCCCTTCATGGATGCGAAGAGCTCCGGGGCGGACTTGTAGAGGTACCTGTGAAACACACGCCACAAGGGGCGGGGATGACAGATCATCGGACGTTCACGAGCCACGAGCTGCTTGCAGACATCAGAGACATCTTCTTTCTACTACTATGCACTATGTAGGGTTTAGGGTTTAGGGTTTAGGGTTTAGGGTTTCGGGTTGAGGGTTGAGGGTTGCACGACTCTGACTCTCTGCACACCTCGCCTCGGCTCCAAAGAGTCGTCCTCGTCCTCCTCGTTGTCCTCCTCGTGGCCCACCATCTTGTCTGCAGAGGTCAAGCTCTGAAGCACCTCCACCAGCTGCTTCTCCTCATGCTTGACCCAGGTGCTCAAGTAGGCGTCGAAGCACTCGCTGATGATGCCCTTGAAGCGAGGAGCAAACTCCGCCTCCTTGGGCTTGGAGGGCTCGGCCTTCCCAGAGCCCCCCGCCTTGCTGGACAGCACGTCCGGGTACTTCAGGGGAAGCTGGGCAGGCATAACGCCCTCCTCGTGGACCTCGTCCACAGACCACTTGCGCGCAAGCTCGTTCTCGAAGTCGATGGACTTGAGCAGCACCCGGACCATGAGCTCGGGGTCCACCGTGTGGTGGGAGGTGTCCAAGATCTCCACCAGATGCTGGCGCGTCACATGGCAAAACAGATCGCACAAGCCACAGGGGACGCGCCAAGACTCCGGAAACTGGGACCTGTACTTGTCGTCAAACTCCCGCAGGGTCCGCTTCAGCCACGCGAAGCGCCTCTCCGCTGTCTCCAAGCCCGAGGCCTCCTTGGGCGGCTGGAAGATGTCCTTGTACCCTTCTAAGAGCCGTAGGCAGAACTGGGTGACCACTTCCCTCTTCATAACAGGGCCAAGGGCATCCACACACTTGGCCGCTGCAGCCCCCCAGCCCTCCGGCAAGCTCTCTTGCCTCGTGGCGCTGCCGATGCCACCGTGGAGGCACATGTAGTCATCTAAAATCTGCTGCTTCAAGTCGCCTAGGACGGCCGCCTTCCGCTCTAGAAGGTCGGCGACCCTCGCCACGTGCGACAGGTCCTGGAAGTGGCCCGAGAGCTCCTCGACCGCGTGGATGAGGCTCGCCGCCTGCTCATAATGCCTGCACTCCGCGGTGGAGCGCAGCTGCTCCAGGGCGGTGATGAGCATCACCAGCCGCTTCAAGGCGGTCACGGTGAGCGTCAGGTTGCGCTTGGCGATGTCCAGGGACTTGATGTCCCGGCACACATCGCTGACAAGCTCCTCGGACTGCTCGGCCTTTGAGCGTATGGCTTTGATCCGCTCAAAAAGCTCCCGGACCGCGAGCTTGGCATCGCTGAGGTCGGCCTGGGCCCGGCGGCCGTTGGCCGCCTGCCTCCGAATGGCGCCCCGGATGCCGTCTTCGATCTGCTTCTCCTGCTGCCGCAGCTGCCCGATGAAGCCGCTGAGGCCGTCTAGGGACTCCTGATTGGGAAACTGCCGGTTGATGTAATCAACTGCATCGAAGTTGTCCGCGTCCAAGGGATCATCTTCCGATCCAAGGGGCTCAAAATCATCCTCCAGATCATCATCCATCGAGGCTACAAGTACTCTGCTACAGCTGACAACTGCATCTGCAACAGCCTCAACACGCGGCACAGCTGAGAGCATGGGGAAGCAGGAGCTCTGGCATGTCGCTGGACGCTGCTCAACAAGCCGTGCCGACATGATCGAAAGAAAGCGCACTTGCGGGGTTAAGAAACCCTACACCCTAAACCCTAAACCACTGGCAAGAGTCAAAATGGAGTGGGCATCTTATTGGTCACTTCTCTACATTCTGTTTTTTTATGAGGCGGCCCCTCTGATTTTAGGGTACCCAAAACAAGGTGACCATCATGTAGAGAACTGCCCTAATGTTTCTCTTGCCAGCGCGTGGATGGGCAGCAACTGCACGGCCCTCATCTTCGCGGCCAGAACTCTTTGCGAAGGGTCCAGTATCCGGGACTGTTCCTGAGCTGTGGAGAGGATCCTCGAGGCTTTGTTCAGGGTTTAGGGTTTAGGGTTTAGGGTTTAGGGTTTAGGGTTTAGGGTTTAGGGTTTAGGGTTTAGGGTTTAGGGTTTAGTGCCCATGAGGGTTTAGGATTTTGGTCACCCCTGCGCAGCCGAACCACAATGCACGGCTGCTTCCGTGACACTTGGGATCCCTGGTTTGGGATCCCCTTTCTCGACCTCGAACCCTGGGCCCTAACCCCTGTTGCCACTGGACTGAAGGCAAGCCCCCTAAACCCTACTCCCTAAACCCATATCAGGCAAAGCATCCCTGATTGCGACCTGGTAAGGACGCACATCTGCTTCAGCAAGGACTTGAAGAGGTCGTTGTGGTGCGAGGCGATCTTGACAGCCAGCTTCCTGGGTTGCTGTCAAGGAGGAACTTCAACTACAGTACCACACGAGAGTAAGAAGTAGGAATACAGGTCAGGTAACCTTAACTGCGGCACTAATGTCCCTACATGAAACCACCCCTGAACCTTCAAGTAGTCAAAAAATGCGCGCCGTATTCTGCACCATGGTTAACTATGTTAACAGCGACCCGGCGTCTCCAGCACCTGTCCGGTTGTCAGAGAATGCCCCGGCCCTGCCACACTCCTTGGCCGCTCAAGACATCGTTGCATCCGACCTCGCACACAACCCGCAGTCGCGGGAGCTCCTAAGAAGAGCCAAGGCTCTTATCCTGAAAGACCTTTAGGATGTCCTCCGCAATGCTCCGGTCGGAGTCAAAGAGTTCCAGGGGCAAGCCAACACAGTTCGACTCCTCTGCAACCTTCGGAACCTCCGCGGGCGTTGCAACAGTTTCCCAGCGGAGGGTTTCTATCGATTTAGCAGCGCGCCATACTTGGGCACTTTGTTTATGCGTGCCGCCTGGCGCTCTGAAGCTTCGGGGTTCCGGGGGGGGGGGGTGGGTTTGGGGTTCCGACTGAGATGCTTGGGCTTCTGGAACTTAGTCTGACAGGGAGAGAAGGGGCGACTGAAGTGGCACAAGTTAGTGGAAATGGGCAGAGGCTGAACAGTCAATGCAGTCATGAGAAGCTCCCTCCACGCGCACTCGAAACTTCGAAATTGTTATGCTCTAACGCGTTTGCCAGCGGAAAACATCCTGAACACGCTGAGGACGCTTGCCTGTTTCGCGACAGACAGATGCGCGTCCATGGGAGAGTGTTCATAAACTGCATGTACCACGCACAGGGGCCTCAAACCATAGGTCTACCCAAACGGCATCCAACAAAATGTCCTCTCACCCTGGGCCTCGAATGTTCAAAGGCGTAGTGTAGTCCCTTAAGCCCTAAAACCCTGCATCCTAAACCCTAAACCCTAAACCCTAAACCCTAAACCCTAAACCCTAAACCCTAAACCCTAAACCCTAAACCCTAAACCCTAAACCCTAAACCCTAAACCCTAAACCCTAAACCCTAAACCCTAAACCCTAAACCCTAAAACCTAACCCCTAAACCCTAAACCCTAAACCCTAAACCCTAAACCCTAAACCCTAAACCCTAAACCCTAAACCCTAAACCCTAAACCCTAAACCCTAAACCCTAAACCCTAAACCCTAAACCCTAAACCCTAAACCCTAAACCCTAACCCTAAACCCTAACCTGTTTGCCAAGCCCAGGCGTGTGACCTCTGTGAATAAGCTCTTTCGAAGGTCTGAAGAGGCTGCAAGCTCTTTCGAAGGTCCCAAGGAGGCTCCGTGGGTGGTACCCCAGGATTCGGGAAAAATGGCTCGATTCCCAATTCGTTTTAAATAGAATTTATATAGCAGAAATGACCCCCTGCATTTTCTAGATTTGTTGCCTTCGTATGGGGTAGCCCAGGAGAGGGTAAGCCCCCTGAAGCCCCCAAAGCGACTTAGGAAAATGGACCCTCGAGTGCTCGTGGCCAGCTAAAGGCCTGGAGCCAAAAACTACTCGGGAACAGCGCGTTTTCCTTTGTCTGGCCTTGCAAAATCGTGCTTGGGGCCAAAAATCACTCCAAAACAGCGCGTTTCTCTGTGTCCCTGAAGCCCCCAAAGCGACTTAGGAAAATGGACCCTCGAGTGCTCGTGGCCAGCCAAAGGCCTGGAGCCAAAAATTACTCGGGAACAGCGCGTTTTTCTTTGTCTGGCCTTGCTAAATCGTGCTTGGGGCCAAAAATTACTCCAAAACAGCGCGTTTCTCTGTGTGTGGCCTCTTTGAATAAGCTCTTTCGAAGGTCTGAAGAGGCTGCAAGCTCTTTCGAAGGTCCCAGGGAGGCTCCGTGGGGGGTACACCAGGCTTCGGCAAAAATGGCTCGATTCCCAATTCGTTTTAAATCTTGTTAGGAGTACCCCAGGAGGGGGTAAGTAAGACCTCTCAGCCGTCCAGGGAACTTCGAAAATTGCCGGAACGTAAGATGCCCGCACGGGAAGTGAACAGCCGACTTTCTAGTCTTGCCTAGAGGTAAATGGTAATTATGGAACATAATTACAGCCATTTACCGTGTAAGTGCATTATCTGTGTACAAATATTCTTCATATTTCCAAACAGTATTGTCATTACTAATACAATAGTATTAAGGATACGCTTAAGCACTCAAGCTTCTTACAATTGCTCTGGGTGGCATCCTGGGGTGGGATATAGTAGAGCTCCATAGGCATGACGGAACTCTTTTGCACTGAAGGTTTCGGACGTCCGTCTCTCTTTCCACCTACTACGCATGTTAGGTCGACAAGCCCTAAACCCTAAACCCTAAACCCTAACCCTAAACCCTAACCTGTTTGCCAAGCCCAGGCATCGCCACCCCTCGCCTCAGCGCCCGTCTCACTCTTTCGTGGTTCCCGGCGCGAGTCGCCCTGTGCCATGCCTGGTATCCACGCAAAGGCTGCTAGGTTTGGGGATTAGCGACTACATGAACGTGTCATGGGTTTTAAGTTATAAGTTGGTACCTACACTGTGTAACCTCAATTCGGGCACTTATCCCCCTACTTACAACTACCCGTAAACCTTTGAGTAAAGGGGATAAGGGTGCGAAGGGTTCTGCCCTAAAAACCAGACCGACACCTACTTGAAGGCTTATGGGTCGTTAGATGTAGGGTTAAAACTACCCTAATTCAGGTTATAGTATAGGTTACCATACTTTTATAACCCTACTTATAGCTACCCATGACCGCCAACCCGGTCTTGGGCCATAACCTAGAACATCCTAACCCGAAACCCATTTTTTGAACCTGGGCTCTGAAGAACCCTACACCCTAGACCACAAGCAGTGCAAGCCCGAAAGTCTCCTGTGTGCAGCCCTGAACACTGTCGTGCAAGCCCAAACGCATGAAGTAAACGACCCGGTCTACCCTCAAGAATGAAGCAACCAACCGTCAAGCCCACAGGCTTCTAGCAACCTTTAGTAAACAGCTTTCTCACAATTGATTCTTCGACCTCGAACCCTAAGCCCCCAAAACCACCCGGAAATCCAGCCCGGATGAGCCCGCTAATCTTGAAGCTCTCAACAAGCAAGCGCCTCGCAAAGCTTGTCTGAACACTGTAAATACCAGCATTTCCATTAAAGACAACAACAAATTCAACAATGCTGCTGCCCCAACCTGAAGAATCGACGCTCGAAGATGCTGTTATTTACAATGACTTGGGCTGCCCACATTTTCGAGAATGCAATCCAAAGCAACCCCAGAGAGAGAGAGAGAGAGAGAGAGAGAGAGGGAGAGAGAGGGAGAGAGAATAGAGAGATAGAGAGATTGAGAGATTGAGAGATTGAGAGATTGAGAGATTGAGAGATTGAGAGATTGAGAGATTGAGAGATTGAGAGATTGAGAGATTGAGAGATTGAGAGAGAGAGGAGACGGAGAGGGAGGGAGGGAGGGACATCCAAAAAACCGAGGTTTCGCAAGCCGCAGACCCAAGATCGCACTGCACATTCGCCGTTCTCAGTTGACCTTAACTAGGGCAACCCACCTATTGCCAGCCACCCATGTACCTTCAAGACCGCCCCCCCGAACGCTGCCCAACTCGAGGCCTCGGATGGCCGCCAGCTGTCGCAGTCCCTGGAGGATGTCCGCCGAAGCGGTGCGGGAGCTGGCGGGCACCTGAGGAAACCCTAAACCCTGAACCGAAGGGGGCACTGCAAGGATCATCTGAGATTTAGGCATTCCAGGGATAGGGTACACTTTTTGTGCTGACTAGTCCTAGAAGGGAAAGGGTAAAGGAAATGAAGGAATTGTTTCAGGGTGCAGGGTTGGCTAGCTATAAGTAGGAAGTGCCTTGCTTAAGGCTACAATTACGGCCACCTTACTTACCACCTTAACCCCATGGACCTTCCAGGCTAAGGGTCAAGCGAAATTACCCATAGCCTCTTCAACTGCGCCCTCCTCATGGGAAATTCAGCTTTGACTTGAAAAAACAACAACTACGCAACTTATGTTGGGGCCCAACCTATTTTGGCGGGGGTTCCTATGCAAAGGATTCTATAGCATTTGGGCATTTATCAGGCTTAGATACAGAGGCAGACCAAAAACCTGAGCCCTAAACCCTTAACACCTATGCCAGTGCCTTGGAGACTTTGAGCTTCTCTTCCCGCTCCTGGACAGGGTTGCCGGTAGGGCTTACTGCTTCGGGCTTCTGGCTGAGGGCTTTGGAGCCCGACAGGAGGTAACCCCCCTAGGCCCCCCATCGCCCACCCTAAACTCGGAACCCTAAACCCTAAACTCATCCTAAACCCTAAACCCTAAACCCAAAACCCTAAACCCTAAACCCGAAACCCTGAACCCTAAACCCCAAGACCCCCCAGAGGGCTCCTGCTTCACCTGGGCTCCTGCACGGCCTCGCTGCCCAGTCCACGTGGGCTCGCCTTGAGGACTTGGGGTGCTTTGATTGGCTGTACTTTTTGAGGGTTTAGGGGTTAAGGGTTTAGGGGTTAAGGGTTTCGGGGTTTAGGGTTTAGGGTTTAGGGTTTAGGGTTTAGGGTTTAGGGTTTAGGGTTTAGGGTTTGGGGTTTGGGGTTTGGGGTTAGGGTGTTGCGTTCCGCCTAGCTGCCGCAGGGTAAATGTCTTTTTGGTATTTCTGGTTTAGGGGGGTTTAGGGTTTAGGGTTTAGGGTTTAGGGTTTAGGGTTTAGGGTTTAGGGTTTAGGGTTTAGGGTTTAGGGTTTAGGGTGTAGGGCTACGGGCCAAGCAGCAAGGCTTTTATTTAGGCGCTTTTTTGGCCACCCCGCCTAGCTGACTGAGTGCGTCTTACAGTCTTACATGTCGGCATTGGGGTTCAGGGTTTGGGTGTTTGGGTGTTTTGGTGTTGACTGTTTAGCCTGGCACCTACCACTGTGGTGGCGTAGGTTTAGGGTTTAGGGGTTTCGGGTTTAGGGTTTAGGGTTTAGGGCTTGGGTTTCCTCGAGGCCTCACCTGATACGCACAAGCGCACGCTGACTTGGGGACTGGGGGCTGGCAACACACAGAACCACGCAAGACTCCAAAAGAAGAAGCAAAGCACCGGAATCAGAATCAAGAAGACCACACAATACCAAACACACGCACATCCCGTCCTTGACCACTCCTACTCCCCAAGCACAAGCCGGGCAGCTGATGTGGTGAGCCGAGCGCTCACGTGAGGAACGCTTGAGGGCATCGAGAGCGCGTTGGGCAACGAGATTCGCACTCTGCCCCACGAGCCTGAGGTGTCTGGCTTTAGGGGCCATGTGGGAGCGGTTCACATCCGAGTTCCCAAACATATGCGGTGCCAGCTAGCTGGTTGGCTGCATGACACAAGACTGTGCCAGGTTCTTCATATGGTGTGTGACGACATGTGTTCGTCCTATCAAGAACTTCGTCCAAACTGTCAAGACCAGCACAGAATTGTCGTTCCCAAACCCTACTGGAAGGTTCATGGGCTATGGTTACCTTAATTCGGCTTATAATAGAGGTGACCTGGCTTATACCCGTACTTGTAACTACCCGTGAACCTTCAAGTAAGCCCTGTGTTTGACCCCCGGGCTGCGGCCTTGACCATTGAGATTTACAGTTGGGAGGGCGACCATCTGCTGCGCAGGGTTTATGGGGGCCTCCTGTTCCTTTAAATGAAGTTGCCATAGTGAGGAGGAGCCACATTCTTTGCCAGAAGGGGGTTTACGAAAATAAGGGACCCCCATAGGTAGGATCCCCTTATAAGAAGGACCCCAATAAGGTGCCCCTAACACCACACAGGATCCTAGAATCGTCGCTTAATTTGAGTCCCCTAACAGCCAAACGTCACGCACACAAGTGCGACCCGGGAGCTTCCTGTCCAGCAGCGTTTGCTCAACTTTATCCTCGGCACCACCACAACCTAGACCCTCAAAAAGGGCGGTTACGATGGCCCCTAAATATACAGATCCCAAAAGAATAGGATCCCCTTATAAGGACCCCAAGAATGAACCCCGGTAACCCTCTTTTCGGAAACCCCACATCTTCCAAGCTACAGCACTTGAAGGTTCATGTATAAGTAGGGTAATAAGAAGGGTAACCGCCTTTATGCTAACCTCTTTTAAACGTCGTACAAACCCTACTTATAACGGCCCATGAACCTTCAAGCGGCTATGAAGTTGGTGCCGCAGACATGCCACCAAGGTTCATGGTTGAAGCTTGCTTTGATGCCTTGCGCATCGTACAAGGTCTGCAAGATGGCGTTGCTCTCATCCTTGGTGGTCTTGCTGGTGTTGTGCTGCTCTTTCATGGGCAGATCGGACACGGCCTTCATGATCTCGGTTGTTTCGACCTCGAACTCCCCCGTCTCCCCAAGCTTGTCGAGGCGGCTGAAAGCTGCCCGGTACTTCTGCTTGAGGGCCATCATGTCCATCTTTGTGACGTTCGGCGGTGGGGGCGGGATCTCAAATAAGTCCGAGATGTCGTTCCACTTGAAGAAGCGCCTCTGCCGGGGGTCTTGCAGAACTTTCTGCGCAAGAAAATGCTTGTAGACCTGGCGGTGGTAGATCTTCTCTTCCACGGTGCCGGTGAGAACCAACCTGTAGACGGACACCTGGCAAGAGTACGTCGACTACGACCCCGCGCAACTGAAAAAAAAAAAACACATTTCAAAGAAAACACAGCTGTTATGCCGTGAACAAGCGCGAAAACAGCCCACCTCCTTCTTCTGGCCAATGCGCCATGCACGTTCGCGTGCCTGTACGTCAGTCATCGGGTTCCAGTCTGGGTCGAAGATGAGGACCCGATCGGCTCCGATAATATTCAGGCCGACCCCTCCCACCCGCGTGGTCAGAAGCATCGCGAACAAGTCGGTGTTCTCGTTGAAATCCTCGATGAGCTTCAGCCGACGCTTGACGGGCGTCTTGCCGTCGATGCGCGAGTGAGTGTAGCCAACGCGACTCATCCAGAGCTCGATGACCTCCAGCATTTGCACAGTCTGAACGAAGATGAGGGTCCGATGCCCATCCCTGTGCCAGAGTTTGAGGATCTCTGCCAGGACTTTCATCTTGCCGGACTTCTCAAAGCCCCACAACTCGCCAGCAGGCTTGTCCTTCTTAAGGTTGCTCCCCAGCTATCGCCCTTGAGGCCCTACGAGGCTTTAGGGAATAGGGGAACCCTGTGCAGAAGGCAGCCCCACGTCCCCCTCCGCCCCAACTTCTGCCTCCCCGTCGTAGCCGTTCAGGAGGAGGTCAGGGTGGTTGCACAGCTTGCGAAGGACGCTCAGGGCGAAGAAGACTGCGCCGAGCGCTTTGCCTTGGCAAAGAGCCACTGTGGGGGAAGTCCCCACAATCTCAAAAACTGAAGACTGAAACCCTCAAAACCCGAACCCTGAAGCCGTTTGCATGAGGATTGCGTCATCTCACTCTGAAGCCTAAACCCCAAAGCCTTACCGTAGGTTTCTGAACCCCTTCTTGCATCTAAACTCCTGAACCCTAAAACCTATGCCCTAAACCCTTTTTGCATCCGGGCTGTGATCTCCCGGCCGGAATAGAGGCTCTGTAGAAGAGGAGCTGTTCATGCCCTAAACCCTCAACCCTCAACCCTAAACCCTAAACCCTAAACCCTAAACCCTAAACCCTGAACCCTAATCAGCCCTAAGCCAAGTGTCGGTCTGTGGTGACCGACTTCGCCCGCCGCGCCTGCCCAATTTTACAAGGGCCCCTTTTTTGTGTGGTTTTTTTTGCCAGCCGCTTAGCTGACCTCTCGGACACTCTGCAGGTTTTTGTGCGTTTAGGGTTTAGGGTTTAGGGTTTAGGGTTTAGGGTTTAGGATTTAGGGTTTAGGGTTTAGGGTTTAGGGCTCCGGCCCGACCTGCTCCGTCTCAAGAAACTGGACGTAGAGGTGGTACTGCTCTGCAGTCAGATGGCAGAAGAGCACCTGCTCCTCCGCGCACCCTCTCCCCCAAACCCTGCTACATCCAAGGCTGTCGGAGGCCAAACCTTCAGAAACCCCTTTTGTTGCTACTGGGTTTAGGGTTTAGGGTTGAGGGTTGAGGGGTTAGGGTTTAGGGTTTGGGGTTTGGGGTTTGGGGTTTGGGGTTTAGGGTTTAGGGTTTAGGGTTCAGGGTTTGGGGTGAAACCCCCGAAAACTCCTGCTTCGTGGGCAAGTTCAGCACATCCATGCACTCAGCCTTCGTCCGCCGGAGGATGCAGGGCTCGGTCAGCTCCCGGAGCGCCAAGGCGCACTGGTAGGCCGCCGCGATCTTCACCTCCGTGGCGCCCATCAAGTTCCCATTCTCGATGGGTTGCGCAAACTCTTCCGTGAACACGGGGAGGGTGCCCAAGCGGCCAGGGCACACGAAGTCAAAGAGTGACCACAACTCTTGGAGGTTGTTCTGGATCGGAGAGCCAGAGAGCAGTATCCGGTGCGCAGTGCTAAACCTTTTGCAGGCGATGGTGCAACTCGCATGTGGGTTTCGGATTTTCTGGCCTTCATCAAGGATAACCAAGACCCACGTTGCCTCGAGCAAAGCATCGATCGCGATCCTCATGGTCTCATACGAGGTGATGAGCACTCCCTGGTTTGAGGAGGCCTGCTTGATGGACTCCTTCCTGTCTTCATCATTCAGCTGGTGCATGACGCACACGCGGAGTGGCGGATACCAGAGGTGAATCTCGTTTCGCCACTGGCTGATGAGCGTCGCAGGACACACGATGAGGATGCCACCAGTGCTGGGAGGGCTGGCGGCTCCGAGGGATGTATTCTGCACCTTCATGTTCTGTAGGACTCCGGAATGGTGCAACACCGCCAGGTACGCGATGATCTGAACCGTCTTTCCGAGGCCCATCTCGTCTGCCAGGATGCCCCCCATCTTGTCGCGATGGAGGCCCCAAAGCCAGTGCCTATACTCCCCTTAGAACCTTACTAAAAAAACAACATTTTCAATATCCTCTTGGGCTTTATATCAACAAAAATTTTCCAAAAAAATCCCAAGGGGGATAGAGGTGCACGCATCGATGCTGATAAGGATAGAGCGCCTGCCAGAGCCACTTTGGGCAGCGAAGGCCCTCGCAGACCTGGATGTCTTCCGGCATCGCGTTCGCCCTCGACTTGCGCTCGGGGTCGGGCTTGCACACGGGCACCCCATTCTCGTCCACCTGCTGCTTTGGCACCAAGGAAGCCGAAGCAGTGTTGCTGGGGTTCCACCTTTTCTGCCTCCTTTGATAAACACTCTCGTTCACATCGTCCCGGCGGGCTTTCTTCGCGTCGGCGGATGCCGCAGGTAGGGCTTCATGACGCCGCTTTGCCCCCGGCATACGCTTCCGCAGGAGGTTCTCCTGAGGAGAGACTAACTCCCCTTGCTGCTGCATCGCTCGCCACTCTGCTGGGTTGTTCTCCTTCCAGATACTTTGTACCTGTGCGACGCGGGGCCTCAAGCGATTGACATCAATATTGCTGGTCGGGAGGGATGATGAGGACGCTGGCTCGATCCTTGCCTTTGCCGTGGTCTCCTCAACATGACCCTCATCATCCCAAAAGGACTCTGGGACTGTGCTCGCACGGGCTTGGGGCGCCGTGTCAGTCAGCGGAAGCTTGACCTGGGGCTTTGTCCTGGCCAAAGAGACCCTGGCAAGCTGAACTTGGCTCTCCAACTTTCGCTTCGCTTCAGGCACGGCACTGCGTGGCTTTCCTTCGCTGGAGGTGGCCCTATGAAGTCCGGAGCTAGAAGAGGAGGATCGCCCCACACGCTCGACTGCAGCGTAGGCTGCGGCCACCGCCTGGCCAGGGCAACAGCTTACGAGCATTCCACTTTGAAAGGCTTTTGCAGATCGAAGGACGGCCTTGCACCGGCTCATATGCCACACCCTCCTCAAGAGCAAGGGAACACACTTTCTTTAGATTTTTTTTATCAAGTCCCAAGCAGCCACCAAAGATGAGGGCCCCCCATTTGCTCTGGGCCACCCACCCCCCCCCCCCCCTGTGCCTCCTCGAGCTTGGACTGCTCCTCGAGGTCCAGGATGTCCAGGCTGCTGGACAGCGACTTGAGCTTCCACTTTCGCTTCGGGCCCTCGGAGACCGTGGCGCTGGCCACCCGCTCCTCCAGGTCCATCACCTCCTTTTGCAGGGCCTCCCTGCTCTCCAGCGCTTCCTGGAGTGCGGGAATGGGCGCCTCCTTCTTGCTTAGCAAGAGGCCCTCGATCTGCCGGTCGACCCTTGTCAGTTCGGCCATCTTGGATGGCAACTGAAGCTTGGCGTCGCAGCTGTCGACCACGCGGCTCTCCACGTCCCTGGCATCGCGGACCTGAACGCCCAGGGCATCCAGTATGGAGGCAGCCTCGTTCTGGTCGTCATGGGTCCCTGGGCCCTCGACCACAATGTCTTCGTCGGAGTATTCGGGGCCGAAGAGCTCGTCGGCATCAAGCTGCTGCTCCATGGAAGCACGACAAGTGAGAAATACGGGAATACTACCGGAATCTAGACTTGCTTCTCACCCGCGCCTCTCCTGACGAATCGGAACTCTGCTGGACTCCAGGCTGCCTAAGCCCCAAGCACTGTCAAATCAAGTCACACCCGCTCCAAATTCTAAACTTCCAAAGCCCTTCGCTTTCCTCCAGCCCTCCCTGGATCTACGAGTGCTGGCGAGCCCAACGTTTACAGGCGCACAGCAGGACATCTCGACCGCTTCGAACTCTTCCCCAAAGACTCATGACTGCTTGGGACGGGCATATGTCATGAGCTTCCCAAACATGTCTTGAATGCCATGCTTTCCCCATGCGGCTTAAAGGTGTAGAGCTTAGGGCTTCGGGCCTTGCGCCCCCCCTCCCCCACCTCCCCAGATCCTTCAGCACAAGCTTCCTGGCAGGTGTCTCCTTCTAATCCTTTTTGAGTGCTGTGGGCTTTTGCGTCTCGGATCTGGCAGCTTTTGTGCGCAGCGGAGGGCGCGAATCGAGGCTTTTCAAAAAGAGTTGGGCTCCAGCCAAGGGGCTTGTGATTTCAACCGATGTGCAGCAGGGCATGGCATCTTCATGTTCATCACCTGCACTGGCTGAACACTCTGTGGTCTGCCCGGAAAGCGCTTCCCTGCTGCAGCTCCTCTTCTGGGTGAAACGCGGTTCTAAAAAAAAATGGTAAGCTTGAAAGAGATAGGCTGCACCTAAGCACCTAAAGATCACGTGTCTCAGGCTCTTCTCATGCGCCTTGAGCTGCATCTTCCCGGTATATGGAGAAGACATCGTTGCAGACTTCTTCAATGCCCTGCTCGTTCAAGGGACCCTCGCCCCCGCAAGCAACTTGCAGGTCGTTCCAATCCTTTTGTCCCGTCGTGCAAACCATTCGCCACATCCCGCTGCACAGCCGGAGCATGGGAGCGAACATCATTAGAGCTAGCTCGAACTCTCTTGGATCGTACCGCTTGCCTTGATTGGCCGCCCTTTTCCGGCCGCGCTCCACAATGGTGTCCTTGTCGCCGAAGACCCCGATGATGTGAATCTCGTATCCCGCCCTTTTGAGGCTTTCAGTCACATCCACACACTGGGAACGTCGGAGGCACGTGCCTGAGTATTGCTTCCAACCCTTTGAAAAATTATTTATGAATACGTTCCCTTAGAACGAAAGCAGGGAAACCCTAAACCCTAAACCCTACACCCTGAACCCTAAACCCTAAACCCTAAACCCTAAACCCCAAAGCAAAACCCAGGTGCTGGGAATCAGCAAGTTCTTCCTCTCCCGCAGGGCCTCCTCGAGGAGCATCTGCTTCTCCTCGTTGATGTTCTCTCGGATACCCAGGTAGGCACCCCACCTCGACTCTTTTTGCTTCTGAATCTTGGGTTTAGGGGTTAGGGCTTAGGGTTTTTTAGGGTCTAGGGTTTATGAATCTTAGGTGCAGGAATTTCGCAGACACAAAGGAAGATACAGAAACCCACTTCAGACATACCAAGCCACCAAACGCAACCGTGCTGACGTCCCTTCAGGATTGCTTTCTTGTACCCACCATGAGCATCGCGGAATGCCTCCCCGTCTACGGTCACATAGCCCTCGCTCTCCATCCCCACCCATTTGGCAGCTTGCGGTGCGAGCGTGGACTTTCCACAAGCGCTTGGCCCTATGAGCCACATAGCTGCAGGCTTTTTAGAAGGTTTGGCATCAAAGAAGCCACTGTTTGCATAGGCTTCTTTCAACTCCTCGGCATTGAAGGGCTTTCCCAGTTCACGGTCCAAGCTTTCACCCATGTCGAAGCCGATGAGCTCACAAATATCGGCAGACGAATCTCCGGAGACTATATCATCACTGATGGAATCATCCGCCTCTGACACGTCAATCGTCCTTGGAAAATAGTGAGGTAGAGTGTCCTCTTCCTCTTCAACCTGGCACTCCACTGCACCAACACTTGCTGCGGCCCGACTGGCTGGCCGCAGCTTGCCCCTGCTTCGCACACCCACGCCGATCGCGCAGCCGAGGATGGAGCTTTTTTTCGGAAGGCCATGGGGGAAGCGAGCCCTTCCCGCCCTTCCCGTGGGTCTCTGCTCAGAAGCGCGATTGGAGCCCACGGGGCTTACGAGGGAGCGGCAAGGCTGACTGCCGAGAAGCATGGCTCTGGGTAACTGGGTAATCAGAGTGGGGGCACAGCATTTGGCCGTGCTTGTGCCCAGACACAACCCGGATGCGGAACATGGCATGCAGGATGCGTCGCTTCACGCCAGCGGGCGTTGCAAACAAAGAGCACATGGATCCAAGCGCCAAATGCTACAAAGCAGTGGTCGACCCCTGTGACAATGCTTCTAACATGGCAGCAAGTCGGCTGTTTTCTGCCATTAGCTTGTGACACATCCCTCCGCAGCACTTCTCCGCATGCCTGCACAGGAAAATGGGGCCACAACTCCACAGGGGTTAGGACTGGAGATAATGTCTTCGGGTTGGTCGCTGTAAGGCTCACAAGCTGGCAAGGTGAAAAAGTTCATGCAGGCAGCCCATTCCAGCGCCGACCCATGATGTTGGCAGAAGCCAGTGCTACACTTGGCAGAGTACTGCCCCTGAAAACACCTTTTTACCACTCGCGACACTGGACTGCCTCGATCATCGCGATCGGCTTCGCGCCTTCTGAGGCCTCTCTCGGATCATCAAAGGCTTCGGCTTTGTCAAAGCTGCTTGTTTAGACTTTAAGAGCCCGTTTAATTCAGAGTTCCCCTCCGATCCAGCTACACGGAAGACTCCCACTTTGGGAATCCCACTGTCGACATCACAGACTTCCACTTGACCAAACAAACAAGCACACAACCACAGTTACAGCAAAAGAAGCAAACCCCCTCCCCCACCCCAAACTCCAAGCCGTTTTGAAACCCTAAACATTGTAGGCGGGGTGGGGTTTTTGGGGAGACGTCAGGGGATTTACCCTAAACCCTAAAACCCGAAACCCAAAAGAAAACCCTAACCCTAACCCCCCCCCCGGGGAAAAAAGGAAACAAAATGCACGCTGCATTTCGGGATTTGTTTGCCGCCCGCATAGCTGAATGAGAACCTCCACTTCGCAGGGATCTGGCATTGAATGAGGGAAACACCATCTGCAGATTCAGGTCATCCGCTCTACACAAGACCTCCCAGAAATCAGCAAGCGTGCACTCACAATGGTGAGTCACACCCATGCCTCTTCACCCTGCCCTAAACCCTAAACCCTAAACCCTAAACCCTGAACCCTGAACCTGAACCCAAAACGCCCCCCCCCCCCCCCCCCACACCACCGGGCCTACGCAGCCTCTCCAATGCAGCCTTCTGCTTGTCCGTCTTCGCGGCCCCACCTGCGCGAGGGGCGCCTCTCTTAGGGTGTTAGGGATTTGGGTTTTGGGTCTAGGGCTTTGCTTAAGTCATCTTCAACAGCATGTTCGCTTCGGGTTAAGGGTTTAGGGCTTCTTTTTAGGGTTTAGGGCTACGACCTTCTTGGCTTGGGATGCGTCATGTTCGCTTGGGGTTTAGGGCTCGTCTTTTTGGTGGATATCGGGTTACGACCCATTTTGCGTGTAGGGTTTAGGGTTTAGGGTTTAGGGTTTAGGGTTTAGGGTTTAGGGTTTAGGGTTTAGGGTTTAGGGTTTAGGTTTTAGGATGTTTTAGGTTTTAGGGTTTAGGGTTTAGGGTTTAGGGTTTAGGGTTTAGGTTTTAGGATGTTTTAGGGTTTAGGGTTTAGGGTTTAGGGTTTAGGGTTTAGGGTTTAGGGTTTAGGGTTTTCTCAATTGTACAGAGTTTGTGTCCGGAGTTCTGGCCCCAAAAGGGGTTTTGGTCGGTTATGTCTCTTGCTTTTTGAATTCTGTCGGGTTTTGCAGGCCTTGTCGGGTTTGTGTTTTGCTTTTGAACGAAACCCGGAGTTTGGGGGGGGGTTTTCGGGGGGGTTTGTCTGTTGCTTTTTGAACTTTGTCGGATCTTGCAGGCCGTGTCGGATCTTTCCTGCGCGTTTTGAATGCAAGTTCCTCTATGGTGGCTTTCCAGGCTTGGAGATGTCTGCTTGTGCTTTCGATGCCTTGAAGACCTGTCTCTTGAAGCCTTTCGGCCTTTTGGGTTCTTTGAAGGATTATTGTAGCCCATCGGAATTGCAGGCTCTGAGAAGTAGCCCCTCGATTATTGTAGCCCCTCGAACATGTAATCTCTGAAAAATCAAAGGATTATTGTAGTAGTATTGTAGTCGAAACTGCTGTCTCTGAGAAATTGAAGGGTTTAGGGCCTCAACCTTTTTTTTGCCCACAACCCTAAACCCTTTTTTGCATCCGGGCTACAATGTCCTGGAGGAAAGACTAAGCAAAACTCTCAGACCCTAGCACTCGAGGAACTTCTTGGAACCCTAAACCCTAAACCCTAGACCCGAAACTTAAACCCTAAAACCTAAACTTGAACCCTACGGGGGTTACCTTGACCAGGCGATACCAAGCCTTTCCGCTTCTTGCGGCCGAACTCGTCCACTTCCTCTTCATCCGAATTCCAATCCTTTTTGGGTTCCTGTGGCGTGGCGTGTGGGTTGGGCGGGCTTAGGGTTTGGGGTGTGGGGTTTGGGGTTTAGGGTTTGGGGCGGCTAAAGCGAACAACGCCCTGTTCACGCCCCAACTCCAAGAGCCTCACTCCCTGGCACGTGTGCACCGCAACCTAGGTACAGCGAACATCCGTAACCCAAGCCCCTCAACCCCAAACCCTAAACCCTAAACCCCAAGCCCTACTCAACCCCCGCCAAGGAACATCCGGGTCTGGACGGTCAAAGTGGCCGCCTAATCGGCCGACACGACCACCTTCGCTCGTCACCGGCGGCGGGGCATCGACCCAATTGGGGTTCTCCTTCTTACCTCAGCCAAGGAGCGAAGCCGCCCCTACGTTGAGAGGTTTTTAACGTGGCACTCCAGGGCTTACCACGGTTTAGGGTTTAGGGTTTAGGGTTTAGGGTTTAGGGTTTAGGGTTTAGGGTTTAGGGTTTAGGGTTTAGGGTTTAGGGTTTAGGGTTTAGGGTTTAGGGTTTAGGGTTTAGGGTTTAGGGTTTAGGGTTGTGGAATCGTGGCTCTGTGCAGCTGGGCGTGCGGCAACAGCATGGAACAACAAAGCTTTGCAGCCCCCACAATGCCAAAGCCCCCTTTGAAGCATTGAGAATTCTAACTGTCAGTGTCTTGCTGGGCATCCCATAACACCCGTGGGTACAGTATGCTTCCCCGACATCATCAAACTAGGAGCAGCAAAAGCGTTGCAAGCAGTTCGCAACACGCACATTCTGGCGCGGATCGCGGGAAGGAATGGCCAGTTGCACGATGACCCGTGCTTCTGGCTTGGAACCGCCCCCGGACGACGCAGTGTTGCGCATGACGATGTTTCATGAAAGCATCAGCCGTGCTCAACGACCCAGCCAGGGCTGCAAAATCGCTTGCCTTCCTCGGCCCGAGCTGCACGCGAGCAGCAGTGAACAGCCAGCGTCACATGGGATGACGTTGGCTGCTATCGAAGAATCGCACGACGATCACGCACACGATCGACTCACTTTGCGGCGAAAATACCTCAACCGGACGCGGATGTCGTCGCACAGCAAGCGAGAGGGTGCCACATTCATTCGTGAGCCCGACGCCAACCTTTCACGGAGCCCTGACCCGCCCAAGATTGGGGGTTTGAGGTTCCCATAAGATCCCTTTTGGAGATGGGCTCGAAGAGAACCCGTAATCTCCACAACGCCTTGGGTTACGGTTAAGGGTTTGGTGGTTCAGAGGTTTTGTCAGGGGTATGGGGATTCGAGGGTTTTGGGGTGGGATTTGGCAGGCCAAGCCACATGCTGTGCAAAATCTCTCGGTGCCAAAGTTGAATCTGCCGCACGGGCGACAAGTCCAGTCAGCATTCACGTTGGCACCGCAGTCCTTCTTGCCCGTCCGCCAATCTGGCATGATTTGATCTTTGGTTTGTGGCGGTCTGTCCGTCGAACATGACAGGCAGTTCTTGCGCTTCTTGAAGTTCAGTGTCTTACAATTGGGACACTTCCAATCTCTGGGATCATAGGTCCCAGGCGCTGGCGGGCGATTCGTCATGAAAGCGGGCCAGGAACATGACAGGGCTCTGTTTTGAGCCATAAAACATGGACATGCGAAGCAGTGGTACGAAAAGCAAGCATAGAAGTCAGGCAAGCACAGAGAACGAGTCGAGTGGCGCCGTGCTGGCTATCACTTGCCCCAACCCGCAATTTGTCCCAATGCCTTCCCTCCTCGCCGCGGGCCTACTTTGGACCCGCAAGATGCTCCGCATGCTCCGCTGCAGCAGGCACTGCATCTCCTGGACGGCCCTCTTTGCCAAGCCAGCGGCCGCGGAACTTGCGGAGGGCTGTGGAGGATCTCGGCATCGTCCAGGAGCTCCAAGGGGACAAAGAACGACTCACGGCCTGTTCAGGTGGCACCTCGCCGAAGAAGAACACAGCGGTAGCGGTCGGGCTCCTTCAGGGTGTTCAGCACATGACACCGTGGCGTTTAGGGGGACATAAGGCACTTGACACCCTGTAGAATCCTTTAAAGGGTGTATCCTTTAAAGGGAAAGGCTAGACATATATATATATATATACACACACATATACACATATATATATATATATGTATGTATATGTCCGTTGAAGGGAAAGGATATATATATATATATAGGGCGGATATATTGTGAAAGTCTCATAAGTCAGCTCTGGCCTGCACGGGGGCCGCGCCGCTGCCTTGCGGCTGCTTGCCACCAACACGCTTCTCCTCAGCAATATCCCCCTATCTATATGGATTGTCTATATATACCAAAGGATACAAAACTGTATATGTATATATACCCTTGAAAGGATATATATATATATATATATATGTATATATACATGTGCGCAGTCTAAAGTTGCACAAGCGTGACGCGTCTGCACGTGACATCACGTCATGCTGTCGGAACAATCTGGTTACGGAATCCGACTTGGGCCGTGCCTGAGGCTACCATAGGCTCCAGAACGACCATGCGCTTGCAGGTACTCATCGATCGCTGTGAGAAGGGTTTTGAGTAAGGTAACCGCTTATAATAATCTTAATGAAGGTACTTATATCCCCACTGAATGCCACCCAAAAACTCCGCCCCTATATCCCCCTTGTACCCTCCTGTTGCTCCCCTCCCTCCCCCCCCCCCCTATACCCCGCTATTTCGCTCCCTCTCACGCCCTTATACCCCTTCATACCCCCCCTTTCAAGCTCTTTCGGGAGATCCCAGGAGCCTTATGTTGTCCCTTGTGTTTGGGGCTTGCTTGAAGGTTCATTCGGGTAGTTGCAACCAGGGATAGAAGTACCGTCGACTCTTCGGGTAGTTACATGGTCCCCTCATATGGGCCCCTAAAAAGGGGACCCCTCCTTTGCCCCCTGTATGTCCGAAAGAACCTCCAACAAGGGACAACATTGGGCTACCCTCAGATCGGTTACCCCGACTGATAACCCTGCCTTTCAATGTCTGTGAACCTCCAACTGAATGCGCTGCTCAAGGCACCACCACGTCGGCTCTCACGGCCAGCTCCAGGAGATAGGTGACTTCGCTGACGTCGAGAAGGCCACGGTCTTGGGCTCCGCAATCCCTGGCCAGCCTGAAAGGGTTCAGAGTTTAGGGTTTAAGGTTTAGGGTTTAGGGTTTAGGGTTTAGGGTTTAGGGTGTAGGGTTCAGGGTTCAGGGTTCAGGGTTTAGGGGGTTCAGGGATTACCCCTAGCTGACTGAACATTTACGGTTTAGCGATTAGGGTTTAGGGCTTCTGCGGCACGATCCTAAGGCCGGCCAAGGAAGGGTTTAGTGTTTGTTTGGGTTTAGGGTTTAGGTTGAGGTTTAGGGTCTAGGGTTTAGGGTTTAGGGCTAAGGATTTAGGGGTTTGGGGTTAGGGGTTAGGGGCTAAGGGTGTTGGGGGGCTGTCCAGGAGGATGTTGGGTTTTGAACGGCTTTTGGGTCTACAGAGTCGGCAGTACGCACAAGGTTTCGCAAAATCAGTCTGTATGAGCCCGAAAGCCCCAAATCGACGACGACGACAGTTTCTCATTTCAGCCCACAGGTTTCATGAGACAAGTAATCCAAAAGCGATGACAGTTTCGAGGACGGCGAGCCCGGCCACAAGGCGAGAGCGCGATCTTCGTCCGCAATGCGAGCAAGCTTTAAATAAAAAAACTAAACATGGTCCGGAGAGGGGAGGTCGGGCGCGGCCGCCGATCTAGCCACTCTTAATTTTGACGTTGGAACACGTTACTGTTGACAAAACTCTTTTGGGAAGCAAACACAGGTATCCTGAATTGTGCCGGGCTTCTCCAGCACGGACGCACAGGGTGTCTTCATAAGTTGCTGGAGGAGCCGCAACACCAAGCAGCGTAGCACTGGCAAGTTCAAGGTGCCCCGGGCATGCACCCAAGCACATGGAGCTATCAAGTGAGAAGGCAGGAAGCATCTCTGCAAGAGCGTCCCGTCTGAGATGTCCGCGGCTTGCAGCACACAGGCCGCAGCTCGGCGGAGACAGGGAAGAGGGGAGTGTTCCAAGTACGGCCACAACCAATGCCTCCCCAGGTCGAACTTGCAGAAGAACTTGGCTGCTTCAGACGCCTCCTCGGAGCTCCCCTGTATTGACACGCAGTACGGTCCGGCCACGTGTGCCATCACCTCCCGAAAATCCTGGCCACAGGGAAAAGGAACCAAGAGCCTCAACTCCTCCAAGCAGGCGAGTATCACCGACAGCTCCCTCTCTGGCTGCGCGAGCTTCGGCTTCAGTCGCCTTCGGTCACCTCGACGGTGGTTTTCATACGCAGCCTTAAGCTGGGCTGTGCTGGCCCCAGGGATGACGAAGTCCTCCCCACGAACCTCAGGGCCGGGAGCGGAGGCGCCGTGGACAGCCTTCAACACAAAAGCTGCGGACTCCAGGAGGTCTCTCTCTCGGCGGCAGAGACCTGTGTCCAGACCTGTTTCCAGACCTGTTTCCCCGGTGTCGGGACTTGACGGCGGGCCCAGGAATGCTGCAGCAAAGTCTTTGAAGGACTTCTCTAAGACCTCGGGATTCGGATCGTCCAGGGCCAGGTTTGCCTTGGGATGCTGGGCCAGGTTGGCCGCTGTAGCCGCTGGAGTCGCTGGAGCCGGCTCCTTCTCTTCATTGGCGCGGGCGGACGGCACCTCCCCACCAATGTCGTCCTCCTGCTCGTCCTCCTCCTCCTCGGAATCCTCCTGCCTGTCCTCGCCTCCTGCGTCCTTGACTTCGCAATAACAACGCTGGGGATCCACAGGCTCTATTGGGGAGGGCTGCATCTTGGTAAGCTCATCCTCCGGCACCAACAGCCACCTCAAGAAGCTGGAGACGGAGCGAGGAGCTCCCAAAGCCACCTGAATTGACTGGAGAGTCGGTTCATCGCTCGTCAATTGCAGATGGGACTGGATGCCTGTTGCTCTGGTGCTGGCGGCCTGAACTTCCTCCTCCTCCTCTTCGTCCTCCTCCTCTTCGCAATGGCTCTGCCAGGGCGGCCTCTTCGCAACAGCCTGACTATAGAAGTCCGCATCCCCCCAGACCGCACAAAGAGTTGCACGCTCTGAGGCGATTGCATCTGAAAGCACTAGGAGGTGGGTCCCATCCGATGACTCCGGCACAAAGCTCCGCAAGGGTTCGGGACTTGTTGCTGAAAGTGCAAGAAGAGCCTCCTGCAAACGTGCGAAGTCGCTGCTTCTGCCAAAAAGCTTGATCTTGCTTGCATAGGTCAGCGTCCAAACTGGACGGACATTGTCCGGAAGCCTCTTCGCCCTGTGGCGCGCTTTGTACTTGCAGACCAAGCCAGCACACTGCCACTGCCTCACCACGCAATCCAGGAGTCGCCGCACGTCAGCAGGCAAAAAATCAGGCTTCCACCACGGCATGCTTGTCTCGTAGGCCGAGAAGAGTAAGCACTTTGAGATGGAGCGGCCCACGGCGCCCAAAGCGCCGAAGTGACCCCTCTGACCAGTTTGGTGGACCTGTTGGACTTGCTGTTGGACTTGCTGGCCTTGTTGGACCTCCTCGGCTCGCAAGGTGCTGATCAAGCGCTGGTTCTTCGCATCGGCGAGAAGATCCCGCAGGCGGTTCTGGCAGAAGGCCTCCGGGCAACCCGAAAGACGGGCGAGCATCGGCCATGTCGACGCTGGGCTGGAAGGCGACGGGCCCACCGGGCGAGACATGGGCAATCCTTGGGCGCTTTGCTCCAAGGCCACCAGGGACTCAGCCGTGGCCAGCAGCTGCATCCAATGGGCATCCTCCATGTCATCCCCTGGTGCTTCATTGACATCCAGGACCTCCCGCATGTCAAGCTTCAGCTTGCTGGACTTGCTCGGCAACACTTTCCGCAACCGCTTCACGCCCGGATGTCTGGGAGGCTTTGCTTGTTCCAGGCGCTGTGCATAAAAGTCCGGCTCGCAGTAGACACTCTCGTCTTCAGGCAATGGCTCCTCATGAGCCTTGAGATAATGGTCTGCGATGGTACTCTTCTGGAAGCAGAGGTGTCCACACCTGTGGCACTTGAACCGCACGGCATACAACGATGAGAACTCCACTTTGCCTCCAGCGGCCTGCGGCCCAGCCACGTCGGCCAACTGCCGGCAGAACTTGATGATCCGCTCAGGTGGCACCATGATGCGACGGCTAAGGGACGTCACCTCGACAGACTTGGGTGTCACGATTCGGGTTTCCTGCATGATTGAAGAGTTCGAGCCGTCTCGCCTCCTGGATGCGGATTGCGAGCTGAGGCAAAGGTCGCTGTAGAACTGGTTCAGTGCGGACCGCTGGTGAGGTGCAAGCCAAGGGTAGCACTTCCAGTTCTTGCGTCGAAAAAGCTCCGGAAGAGTCGCGTTCGCAGGGGTGGGAACGACACGACGAGGTCTCTTGTCCTCCTGGCTGGAGCTTCCATCATCTTTCGCACCTTTCGGCCCACCCAAGGCTTTGTCACACCAGTGCTTCACAAGCTGCTGGAGCCGTTCCCAATACGCATCCACGGCACCTGGCTCAGCAAGGTCGAAGCTTGCGACTCGTCGCGGCGGGTCTGCGACAAGGTCGGCCGTGAAGGTGTCCAAGTGCACATGGCGGTTCACCTCTCTAGTTACTCTCGTTGCGGCAATTTCGCACATGTTTCTTTTTGAAGGGCCCTGTCAGGCAATCCACTTTGCATGTGCTTAATGTTTACTGTTGACTTGCCGCTTAGAAGTCCCCCGCAACTAAAAATCTTGTCCTCAACTACAACCCCCAAACTGCAAAAGAGACCTGTCAAACTGATTTTATGCTTCGGCAGAACAGGCCAGCCCTTTTCAAACACAGGCCCTCCCAAACAAGACTCCCTTTCAACCTCAAACCCTTTGAAGATTTTGGCGGGGAGGGGCTACTGATGGGAAGTGAACGCTGCTTGTTCTGAACAAGGCCGCCTGGTAGACCAAGTGGACCGCGTTTTCAGTGGAACCCGCAGCCGTCTCGTCAACCATCGTGACGAGGTTCATCTTAACAAGATATACCTTTGCAGGATAAACCCTGGTAGTGGGCACGGAAAGGAATTACAAATACGAAGCGTTAGAAAGGCAATTTCTGAATCGACCCCAGATGCCAACACACGGCGGATGGTTTGTGTCGTCCTCGATGCTCCCGCACAGGTGGTCGGCCCTAACAGTTGCTTCCTGATGCCTGGCGGCGCCTGCACAAGGGACATGCCAAAAGTGTGCAATAAGAAAAATCCCTAAGTCGTCCCATGCAACACAAGGCAACCTCCCACGCTGTCCGTATAATGTGTGGTGCGCTTTGCATCGGCACCTGGCTGACGAGAGGATTCGAGCCAGCTGCCAAAAGCTCGTCAAGCTGTGGGTTGTACACGCCGCAGCCGACGACCTGCAGGAAAACATGCAGATCCATCTCATCAACGATCCTGGACGGCGTCCAGCAGGTCGCCTCGAAACCTTGCCGCTGCAGCATCCCATGTAGCAACTGAATTCGTGAGGCCAAAGAGCTGTTGAAGCCATAGTGCTGCAACACCTTCTGGTCCAATGTTCGGGGCACGTCGCAGACAGCCTCTTTCTTCCCCGGCCGGGTCACTCGCTCGGCCACGATGGCTTCCGGAAGCAGTCTCCGAAAACACGGAGGTGGAAGTGCAGAAGGCCATGGCCGGTCGAGCAAGGCCAGGGGCTTGGAAGGCTTGGAAGGCTTGGACTCCTTGGCCCTGGAAGCCTTCGAACCCTTTGGCACCGGCTCGTTCTCCGGGCGCCGTATCTTTTGGAAGCGGCTCTCACGCCGAAAGTCTGCGTTCTCTGCAGCCAGCTGTCGTGCAGACCTTTCTGTGTGAGAGGGCTTCCAGAAGGCAAACTCTATGTGGTCCGTCGAATTCATGCCGAGGCCAACTCTCTTCTCGGTTGATGCCAGCGCCTTCAGAATCTTTGCGGGCGTTTTGCCGTCCATAGATCCAAGCACATCATCTTGCATACCGGCTTTCTTCAGGTCACACGGGGTAAGCATGCCAACCTCTGCCAGCAACTCGCTTGTGCGCTGGACACGCCGCACAAACGTAACATCAACACGTCCGGTTGATCCAGTCTTCAGTACCTTGCTGGTGCGTCCATCTTGCAGCTTTAGTTTATGTTTCGGGCTTGCTTGTGGCACATTGCATGCGTCACTGCATGCTGCTGGCGTGTCGAAATATCGGTTCACATGTGCCTTTCCATCGCTCTCGAAAACTCGGATGACACGTTTCTTTTTCACCAGCGTGTTCAGAATACGCTCCGCCTGCTTACGCCGAGTTCCCAGCATACTGGATACATCTGGACCCACAATGCCGCGACCGAATCTGCTGCAGCAACGGATTAAATCCTCTGTTTGTTGGTAAACTGACCTCTCAGCACCGCGCAACGGGGGCGCAACCACATGTGCTTGCACCAATCCTTCAGGAAGGGCATGCATGACTCCTCCAGTTTGCTTAGATGTCACATGGCTCTTTGCCTGTGAGTCGCTCTGTGCGGCAGGCGGGATATCTTCAATTGCCAAAACTGGCTGAGGCGCCTGCAGTGGGCCGTGCCCTGGGATACACAAGGCATCTTTGAAGCTCTTGCTCCGAGCATCCCAGGCACGAACACACTCCACCCTCCCACTTGCAACAAGGTCCGACCGCAGGCGCTGGTATATCCGACCTGCTGCTCGCCGCGTCATGTCCGGCTTCAACGCCGACTCTTCCAAGACCTGCGCCAACACGGTTCTCAAACCGCCCTCAAAGGCGACTTTCGAATCTGTGGAGTTCAAGGTGGCCACGATCTTGTTCTGCAAAGCGGCTGCCGATGTTTTCAGCAAGATCTGCACCTCGTTCTGTTCCACCGAATCCGCATCAAAAAAGCGCGAAAAGTAAAAGAGGTTGCGATGTGCGTCTGTCGAGGTTGCTTTTGATGGGAGCGTCAACACTCCCACCAACAAACCTGCCAGCCTCAAACCCTCGAGTGGATAGAACAGATTGGCTGCTGTAACGTTCAACTCCGACGACAACAACGAAGCAGAGCAACCTTTCCAACGGCGCTGCGCTACAAGCTGCAGCGAACGCATTGACAGATCGTTCTCGGCAATGTCGGGATGGGCATCCAACCTCAAACAATGCCATCGGACGGCCTCAGGAACATTTAGCACCATTTTCCCTCTGTTTCGATAACTCCGCTGGTGCTTGCATTCACGGTCATCTGAGTCTTCCGTCTCTGCATCCGGTGGCAGGTCATCCGTGCGGAGTGCATGCACAGTTATTGGGGTTCTGTTGTTGGCGATCTCCTTCCACAACAACGACTGCAGGTGGCGGTCCATTTGATATCCGACAGCACGCAACCTGTACAGCAGCTTCGGCCACGAAATCCCAGGTGGGCCATCCCAAGAAATCTCTTCTACCGACACTTTGACCAATGACGTCAACATGGCACCAGGCATCCAGGAAGATCTAACATCCCCTTTGAATCGAAAAGTTGCAAGGCATCACCAAACTGAAAGATATGCGAGGTTCATGACTCCACCAAACGAATGCAAGTCCAAAGCCCAAAAAGCTTACCTCCGTCCAAGGATAGTTACATGGTCCCTTAGTATCCCCAACAACCCATTTTATACCCCAAAAGGCCCGAGGGCCCACACTTCAGCGCCGAACCAGCATGTCCAGGCCGGCAGTGCGTTGCAGCGGCACGTCGAGTGGAGGGCGGGCTACTTTTTCTGCGTATGCAGCGGACAGGCATGCCAAAACACACCGGGGATGTTTTACAGCGCAAAGGCACGGTGTGAGCCTAAATGCAGGGCATCAAAGTTTGCATGAGCAAAAAGACATGCGTGAAAATCAACAGGAAACACTTCGCAATGCCATGCCTTCGTTCAATGACCCACGTCAGAACAGGCCGCTCCACACGTGCTCGTCTGCATCTCGTGCGCAGCGCAGCTTTGTGGCTGCAGACGTCCACGACGCTGCTGCTGCTGCTGCTGCTGCTGCTGCCTGGGTCCCCCCGCCGCCACCCCCCGTTCAACACTTGCGTGCAGAGGCTGATCTCGGCTCGCCCGCGGCGCGTGCCCCCACCTGCTCGGGCCAACGGGCCTGCTGCGCTCCCAAGCCCTGCCATGACACATCGAGATGTGCAACATGCCTCTGGTCGGCAAAGGGGAAACGGGCGGGACGCTCGGCGTTAGGCGGCTCCGATGCGTCCCGATATTTCCGCCTCGTCTCCTTCAATTGCAACAGGTTGTGGTCGCCTGCATGATGGTTTCCATGGCTTCATAAATTTTCTCACATACATTCAGTGCGATATTGCCTTATTGCAAGAAACCAACTCACCTGCAGCCCCGTGCTTGCCTGACAATCAACCGTATGTGTATGATGGCCCAGTGAACTCATCAGGGCGTGATGTCGCATTCCTTGTGCATAATGATAACTCGGCTGCTTGCACGCCGGTGGCTTCGGTTCCTGATGTAACAGACATTCAATGGCGATTAGTTGCGCATGGGCAAGATTGTCCACCCACGGCCATTGCCTCAATTTCTGCACCTCACGTTGGCTGCGCCGAAACGGAACGTTGTGAGTTTTGGCAACGACTGTTTTCCTCGCTGCAGGAAGTACGTGCAGCCTTCCCAAACATAGACATTGTCATTGCTCGGGATAGCAACTTGTGGCTCCCGGGGTTGGTTGATGAGTGCCCACCAAGGGCCGCAAATCGGAGCTGCGTCGAAATCGTTTATCTTCTCTGCTCTACTTTTCACCTCGTCATCTGCAACCCTCGTAATTCTCCGACGCATCGTGCTGGTGCGGCCCTTGACTTGGTCATTGCAACACCAGGAATCATTGCATGCGTTGATGTACACAACTCCGAAAATTGCCATTGCAGCTCCGCTACATGTTGCCCGTTGTTGAGTAGCGACCACTTTGCCATCAGCATTACGTTGAGCAAATCGGCGATTTCTCTGCCACCGCAGCCGCCCCGCGCTCGTTTACAAGTTCGCAATTGGCACGCCCTTATTGCAGCACGACGTGCTGACCTGGCCGAGTGGTCCAACCGTGTCAATGTGTTGGTCAAAGCGTCCCCACTCCCGGTCGAAGCTGCTAAAAACGCGTTGGACGCACTGTACAACGAACTGTTGACACTGCCTTGGTCGGCAAAAGTTGGACATTATCGTTTTATCGTTTTACTTCCAACCGTAATCGACCTCAACCACATTGGTGGAACGATTCATGCTGTGATGCACTTATACGCCGCAATGCTGCGTGGCGTGAGCGACGTCGAAACCCAAACCTTGAAAATGAAGCGCGTTTCAGGGATGCCCGCAATAATTTTCATCGTGTTGTCCGTAAGACTAAAAAAAACATTTTGGTCAAACTGGATTTCTAAAGTAGAGAAGCTGCAATCCAATTGCCCGCGCGCAGCTGCCAGCGCCATTCGACGAAGGTTTGGCCACAACTCGACCCGGTTGCCTCCAGCCCTTTCTCCGGATTCATGTGCGTCGCCGGAGGATCGACACGCCTGCCTGGCCGCGTGGAGTGAACAATTCCAACATGGTGCCCTCTTAGGTTCTAGTAGGTTTGATTTGAGTCATGCGTCCCGTATTCAGCGACGCATTGCACGCATCCGCTCGGGTCGCATGCACGCCTGTCAAACATGCATGCCGTTCTCACATGATGAACTGGACCATGCCTTGCAGCAAGGGGCGGTTGGGAAAAGTCCTGGTTGTGATAACATTCCGTACGAAGCCTTGCGTGTTGATTTGCCTGAGTGGAAAGATGCGTTACTAGCTTTCTGCAATGCGTGTCAGTCTCATGCTTGCGTACCCACATGTTGGAAGCACGGTCTTGCATCGTATTCGACCACACATCGATCCGAGGCTTGATGAATCTCAAGCGGGATTTCGATGGGGAGCGGACCTTCATGTGTACACCCTACGGGAAATTCTTCAACTCAGAAGAGGTTCGAGGACATATTGTGCTTTTTTGGATATACGCAAGGCCTTTGATGCCGCGTGGCGGGAAGGATCTCTCGTACGGCTTTGGCGTGCTGGTTTGCCTCCTAATTTGTGGCACCTGGTTGATGATTTCATCTCAGGTCGCACTGCGTCTGTGCGTGTTGCATCTGCCACATCTGACCAATGGGATGTTGAAAATGGGTTGGGTCAAGGTGCGGTTCTTAGTGGGTTCCTGTTCAACATTTTGATCAATGGCTTGGCAGCAGGCATCAAGCGTGTTTGTCATGGTGTGAGGGGTGGGTCATGCCCGGATGCTCCACAATTACAAATTTTGATGTATGCAGATGATATTGTGATTTTGAGTGATGATCCTGCTGATTTGCAACGAGCCCTTGATGCTGCAGCTCAGTGGGCTACGCGCTGGCGGTTTCATTTTGCAGCAAGTCCAGAACAATCAGCCGTTATGTGTTTTGGTCCTGGGTGCCCACGACGTCGCTTGCCAGAGTTTCGTGTAGGCACACTACTTCTCCCGGTTGTTAGGTCGTATGTTTATTTGGGAGTTGTGTTTCAGAGTAATTTGGGTTGGCGACAGCACGTTGATCACCTTATGAGCCGCGGAGAACGCAAAATGGCAGCTTGCCTTTCCTGGACTGCATCAGCACTACTGCCCGTGAGCTTTACCCACAGAATTTTCCGGTCCTACGTTTGCCCCAGTGCGCTGTAGCCTTGCCTTTGTACCAGATGGCGCACAGCTCGCACGCCTACAGACCCGATTGTTCAGGTGGGAACGCCGCTTGCTCATGTGGCCGCATGGGGCCCTTCTGTTGTCGTTCAGGGACAACTGGGGTGCTTGGACTTGTCGGCAGAACGCTTGCTACATGCCGCAGGTATGTGGGCCCGTCTAATCTGCATGCCTGCAAGGAGCGTCACCAAGCGAATCATGCATCATGCGGTTTCACAAAGGTTTTCTTTTCTTTTTTTTTTTCTCCCGCACCTTTTTCCGCAGCCTGTCATAGCGGGGGTCGGGGTCGGGAGGGAGGGGCCTCACTGCCGCGGCGGCACGCGGCTGGCGGCCGGGGGGCGATCCCAGCGGCCATCGGCCAGGACCTCGTGCAGCTCAGGCGCGGCATCATCGCCGTTGCTCTCACCTGCAAGGGGCAGCTCGAGCAAGGAAGATGCGAACGCGCGCTGGGCCGCAACGGCCAGGAGCGCCGCCCATCGCGCCACCCAGGCGGTCTGAGCCGCCGGTCGGAGGTGCGCTGGGATGGTGGCAGCTCGGTGGCGGGCCAGGAGGCGCAGGAAGGTGGCTGCTTCCGTGCCAAAGCGCCCACCCACTTCCAGGGCAATGACGACCAGGCGGCACCGCCGGGCACGGAGGAGCTCGGGGTACGTGCCATGTCGCTTGCGCCGCGCTGCTGCGGTGACAGAGCGCCCCGGCTCAACATCAGCCCGCGGGTGGGGCTCGCCCGTACGTGTGAGCGGGGAGACGAGCGTGGCGTCAACCGCGAGCTGCGAGCCGTGCCAAAGGGACAAGCCGTTGGCCACGACTTCGATGCGCCTGTCATCTGCGACGGGCACGTCGATGTTCATGTCGGCAACGCGGACGTTGCGAGCGACACGCGCACCGGCTTCGCGGCAAACCCGCGCAACGGCGCGCTCAAGTGGCCCTGCACGCGCGGCGAGCACGCCGCTGGTAGCGCACGCGGCACGGTGGTCCCCGAAAGCGTCGAGCCTGCCACGACAGCTGCACGTGCGGGGGGCGAGTGGCAGGGGCAGGCGCAGGCGCCGCAGGAGCAGAATGCGGAACTGCGCATTCGGAATGGACACGGCCTCGTGCGTGGGCGCGACGGTGATGGCTCGGGCAGAGTGTGGCCCAGCCTGCGACAGCAGCAGCGCACGGGACGCAAGGGTGAGGTCAGAAAGATGCGTCTCGCACGCGCGCTCGTCGCACGCTCCGGCAGCTTGGCGCTGCCATCCCCGCAGGGCATCACCTGGCTCGAAAGCGCAGCCGCGCGCTGGCGGCGCGTCCGAGGCGTGAAGCAGGGAAGCCCACGCCGGCGCGTCGTAGCCGATGGCGCGAAGGGCATCGCGTGCCTGATTCGCAGCGGCCGCCGCGGGCAAGGGCACATGGCCCTGCAAGGCATGGAGCAGCCGGTCTGCAGCTACCGGCGCTCGGGCTTGGATAACGGGCAGCGTGTCACACCAGGAGGCCCAATGGGCAGCTTGGCGGGCAGCAACAGCGGAGCGCAGACCAAGCCCCCCAAACCGCAAGGCCAGCTGCGCCGTTCGCAGGCTGGGATCAGGCAGGGGCGCGGCCTCCAGCTGCAAGAGGCGGGTGAGGCACTGGGCAACTGCCGCGTCGTGGTCCCGCGCATACGCCT